ACTTGCTTGCGTGTGGCTGATGTGGGTTTGATCCCCATCACCCTATAGGGTCCCCCAAACACCGCCTGGAGTGAGTCCTGAGCACAGCTGTGTGTGGTCCCCAAGCAAAAACAAAACAAAAATCCTTGTTCTAAGAGTTAGCACAGACAGCAATGCTTAGAAAGAGGCTATTTCAGGTCTAAACATTTAAAAATTAGCAGTAAAAACATAAAAATAGCAGTCTAAACATAAAAATTAGGAGTAACCAGGCATTCTTTTGTTATTTTCATTGTTGTTGTTCCAAAGTGAATCATCAGAGAGAAACATCATTAGAAGAATTCTTTGCCAGCTTAGAAAAATTATGATTGAAAATGATCTGTAGTAGCCTAAGAGTCACTGCATCGATTAAAAAAAAATCCCAAGTACCAGAGATGCCCAGGACCCTACATTTGCCTCTTCTCCCCTGTTTTAGAATGAGAATTTCCATGTCACCTTGATCGTCAGAGATAGTTGCAAAAAGGCCGCCCTCGGTGGGTAGTTCATGGGTTGAAGATCCAGGCTCATAATTTTGCCCTGAAGCATCTTTGGTCTCTAATCCAGTCCTGTCGGGGAGGAGGCAGAAACTTCAGCCCCATGACTGGCAGACTAAGACGCTGATTTTGACTCACGAAAATGTTTTCTTGTGTCTCAAGCTGCCACTTGCAGGCCACAAAGGGGCACCGTCCCTCAATGGGATGAACACTGACTTCTTTTTTTTTTTTTTGTCTCCACTTTATTTAAACACCATGGTTTACAAAGTTGTTCATAATGCTTTGTTACAGGCAGTCAAGTATTCCAACCCCAATCCCACCACCACGTCACCTTCCCTCCACTATTGTCTCTCTTTTCCCAGCCTTTGGAACACTGACTTCTTAACCATGCCCTCCTCCCCATTAATCACAGGGGAAGATGGGAGTAAGCCATACGAAGCCCCCAAAAGATTGGTTTTATCTGCCAAGTGGCGAGTGAGAAGAGCGAGCCACAGCAAGAGGGGCTTGGCAGTGATACCGCTATCTCGCTCGTGGCCAGAGACAGTGGGCCACTGGGCCACAGTGCTGTCCCCTTTCCCAAGAATGAATTCAGGGCCCTCGCAGCAACTCTTCAGCCGCAAAGCCAGCAAATAGAGATGCTGCCTTCAGCTTCTGGAATCTACTTGTTACCACTATAAGGCCTTATAGCCCAGCTATGATTTGGGTTCCTGGCTCAAAATGGAAAATGCCAAAGGTTAAATCGTAGAATGTAGAGTTAGGAGTTAGAGAGTGTTAGAGAAAGACCGAGTGTAGCAAACAACCCACTCCAAAGTGAGTTGTAGAAAGTGCAGAAGACAAGCGGCCCTCAAAGCACATAAACCAACCATGAGGCCCCACTGGCTGGGGGCAGCATTGTGTGTGAGACTTCCTGCCAGCTCAGGGGTTTTTTTGTGTTTGTTTTCTTGAGTTGGGTTTTTTTTTTATTTTGTTTTATTTTTGTTTTTGTTTTTTTGTTTTTCGTTTTTTTGTTTTTTTTTTTCTTTTTGGGTCACACCAGGCATTGGTGGACCATATGGGATGCCGAGATTGATCCTACCTGGGTCAGCCACATACAAGAAAAACACCCTCCCACGTCTTATCGCACCAACCCCTCAGATCTTCTTAGATGCTGCTTTTTCCCCTCTCACACTTGAGAAATTGGAAACCAGCTTTTTTTTTTTTTTGACTATTGGCTTTTGGCTTTTGGGTCACACCTGCTGGTGGTGGTCAGGAATTACTCCTGGCTCTGTGCTAAGGGATTTCTCCTGGACACGCTTCTGGGACCATATGACATCTAACCCAGGCCAGCCACATGCAAGGCAAGCACCCTACTCACTCTACTCTCTCTCCAGCCCCACCTCTCATCATTTTGACTCTGACTAAGTTTTTATAAGTCTCTGGGAATTTTCATGGCTTGGGGTGCAAGGGTTTCATAGACACTGAGTTTTTCCCACAAACCTGCTTGGCCAATATATCAAATACTTTCTTAAAATGCAAAAGCAAGGAGCCAGATAGCACAGCACAGAGAATGCTTTCCTTCCATGCAGCTGACCCAAATTCAATCCCAGGCACCCCATATGGTCCCCCAAATCCCTGCAGGAGTAAGCTTTTTAGCTCAGAGCCAGAAGGAAGCCCTGAGTATTGCCAGGTGTGGCCCCCAAACCAAAAAATTTTTTAAAAATCCATTTGTTCCCAGCAAAGCTAAGCAACTTAGGAAAAAGCTTCCCATTTCCTGAAGTTACTTTTGGTTCTGAGTTCCTGCAGATACCAAGGTGTCAGGGGCCAAAGAGGGGTGCAGAGGGAGAAGGGTCAGGATGGATTAGAAAGATCAGAATGAGGCCAGCCCAGAGATGATCCTACTGGGGACTAAGTCTCAGCTCCTACAGTGGTGTTTCCATATTGGCCAAGGGGTGGGGTCTTGTTTAGAAGGATCCAGAAAAAAGAGAAATTCACTCCTGAGAAACAGAAGCAAAAAAGCTCTAGACTCTTGTGAGTCTGCTTGCTTTTTTTTTTTTTTTGAAAATCAGTGTTTTCAACAGACCAGAAAAAAATCATTATGGGTTGACATATATGTGAATAATGTTTATAAAGAGGGTATATATCATATGTAAGTCATCATGGACTACTATCGATATAAATCTTAGATATATAAAATATATAAGCATATAAAAACATTTTGTAGGGCAGTGGACACTTAAGGGCTCCCAAGATTTTTTGAATTTTTGTTGCAAGAGTATAAAGTTTCAGGGTTAGTAGCTTAGTTTTTTTGGTATACACCCCTGGGTGGGGTGCATGGTCTCGAAACATTGGCGAAAGTATTTTGAAATACTTATAGCAAGTGTGTCGTTGTTGTTTGCTCGCAAGGAGCCACTAGTGATCAGTGTGTCCATTGCAGTGTGAAAAGCCAAAAGGAATTTTGCAGAGAAGAAACAGAAAGTGTCTTCACTGTGGCAAGCTTTTGGACTGAAATCGACAAGTACTTTTGAGACTTCCGGTGTCAATGCTATTGTCTCTCACTTAAATCCCCAGTGTGGGATGACTTTACACCAGAGAAGAAGGCGCAGATGTTTACTAAGCCCCCTTTCTTGGGTTTACCTGACCTGTTCCAGAGGAATCCGGAAAGTTATGGTCCAAAGTCCTCTTGCTTTAGGCTCACGCTCCACTCACCATCAATTTTCAAAGAACTGGCTGTTCTTTGAAATAGTTTTGTTCTGGCATTCAGAGGCTCAAAGCTTTGAAGGCCAATTTCACTTGCTTGGTTCAAGGCTCCCAGGAAGGGTTGAGTTTGCTCTTTATAGCCCAAAAGGATCAGCAAAGGGGAATAAGGGAGTTCCTTGCTGGAGAAGTCCACTCCTTCCTTTCCGCCTACCGAAAAGATGACTGTGCTCCTAAGCATTGTAAAAATGCCCTCTGCTCTTCCTCAGGGAGCAGTCTGCCCCATTAAAGTGGAGAGTCTCCTTTGCCAAAAATGCCCACTGTTCGCAGCTGCAAGCTTGTAAGTTCCATTCTGTATTTTTGCATGAAACAATAAAGCAGGTTTATTTTCACGTAATGCACTCGTGTCTCAGGTCTGCTCTACGCACAAGCTAGCCTGGAGAGGGGACTCTTGAGCACTGGTTCAATGTCCCCAGAAGTGGGGACGAATGGAGATACAGCAGAGAGGGCGTCCGCTTGCTGCATTCAGAGTTGAGTGATCCATCCCCTCAAGCTTCCAACTTCTAGTACCCACAGGGATTTCTGGGTGGGTGGGACCACGCCTCCAGTCTCTGCCCATCCCTGGGATCCTGCCATGTCTCGGAAGGGCAGTGGGCATGGTTGGTTCATTGCTAGTAAATCACTGCAGATGACATCCTCGAGACCCCGGACCCATGCACAGACCCCGGTGTGTACACAGCAATATATCCTTGAGGGAACGAAGAATACACCACCCCCACTATTACCCACGCAGGGATTTGGGAGCTGAAGGTTTGCAGGTGCTAGAGAGAGCTCCAAGCTTGGAAGCAGCCCAAATTTTCCCCAAGAAGGGCAGAAATAAGCCGGTGAAAGGACAAGTCCACTCTGTTTTAGTGACATTGAGTGCCCAGTCCAGGAACTAACTAGCATTAACCATCTCCTGCTCCATCATTGGGACTTGGGGGAAGGGACTTTGGCAGAGAAAACAATTCTTCCAGCTTCCCAAATGTCACTCATGAGAGGATTGATACAGAAAGCAACCTCCGGGGCTGAGAATGAGGTTCAAGAGTAAAGCAAAGAGGCTGCACTGGGCAGGGTGAAGCCGGGGGACACAACCTCCTCTCGAAACCTGCCCTAAACCATCGTGCTGGGAAGAGCAAATCTGGGGAAGAGTCTCTGCTGCAAGTCAAAAAGAATGTCAACAGCAAGATGGTTAAAAGAATTTTTAATTTGAGATGATTTCAGTGACTTAGGAAGCATCATCTTTCCACTTGGAGGGCTCAGAGAGGAGGGTGCTGGGAGTTAGGAGGAGGGGGGAGGAGGAGGAAGAGGAGGAGAGAGGAAGGGGAGAAGGGGAGGGTAGGAGAAGGAGGAGAAAGAGAAAGGGAGAAGGGGGAGGTGAGAAGAGGAGGAAAAAGAGAGGAGAAGGAAGAGGAGAAGGGAGGTGGAGGGAGAGGAGGAGGGGAGGGGGAGGAGGACGGGGAGAAGGCAGAGGAGGAGGAAGAGCGGACAAGGGATAGGAGGACAGGGAGAAAATAGAGGAGGAGAGGGAGGAGGGGGAGGAGGGAGAGGAGGGAAAGGAGGAGGGAGTAGGAGGCACGGAGGAAGGAGAAGGAGAAGATGGGGGGAGGAGGGAGGGAAGGAGAAGGGATGAAGGAAGGGGAGAAAGTAGAGGAGGGAGAGGAAGGCAGAAGGAGGACAAGGAGGAGGAAGGAGGAGGAGGAGGAAGAGGAGGGGAGGAGGGGGATGAGGAGGAGGGAGGAAGGGGAGGAGAAGAGGGAGGGGCGGAGCTCCCCAGCATCAGAGCAGGGTGTCCTTGGTGGGCGGGGCCGCGTAGACCTCATAGAGCTGCGCCGGCCGCACCTTGAGCTCCCGGGCCACCTGGCAGATGGAGAAAGGCCAACAGCAGTGCACCGCCAGCCAGTCCTCACACACAGTGCCCTAGGGGGAACCCAGGGCTCTGTCCACCACCACAGCACAACGCCCCCCCCCCCCCCCCCCGCCAGTCTAGCCCCAACCCCAGGCCTTTCCAGCCACTCACACATATACCCTGGAGCCTCTAGTTCAGGCCTCAGACCTGAAGGCACCAATTTCTCCATAAATGTTTTTCTGTTTTCTCTGAAGTGTTAGTATTTGTCATTTTTTTCCCTTTGGAGTAAATAATAAATGTGCATGGTCCAAAATGCCCACAGTGGGGCTGGAGCAATAGCACAGCGGGTAGGGCGTTTGCCTTGCTTGTGGCCAGCCCGGGGTTCGATTCCCAGCATCCCATATGGTCCCCCAAGCACCGTGAGCAAAATTCCTGAGTGCAGAGCCAGAAGTAACCCCTGTGTATCGCCAGGTGTGACGCAAAAAGAAAAAAATGCCCACAGTTCAAGGGAGAGAAAGGGAAAAGGATACCCCTTCCATAGCACGTCCTCTCCCCCATCCCCCACTCCACCCCCGGGGAGTGCCACTGTGACTGGTTCCTTTGCCTCCAGAGGGGGACTTATGGGGACTGAAGGACTAGTTACAGCAAGTAAGGCAGGAAGCCCACCCAGGTTTGATCCCGGAAACCCATATGGTCCCTGAGTCCACCAAGACTGATTTCAGGAGTAAGCCCTGATCACTAGTGGATATGACCCAACACCCCAAAACATACAAACATAATGTATAGGCAAGGAACATCGATCAAAAGATAATAATGTATGCCTGGCATGCCCAATGCCTGAGTTCAATCCAGCACTGTCAGGGTTAACTCTGGTGACCTGCCCTCCCCACCCCCCACCCTACCCCCATCCCAACTGCACTCCTGGGTCCAAGCATGGAGGCACAGACACACTGATGGCCAGCAGTGCTGAGGCGGTGCCCCTATCCATGTGTCTTGGGGGTGATTCCACATGAAACCAGAGAGACCGCTTTTCTCAACTTCCCATGGGGGTCGTTATATCACTTAGTCTCTCCTTGCAGCCCAGACTCCACCCAACTGCGTCTTTGGAGGCCCCCAAAAAGCCCCCGCAAAGTGAATTCTGCGTATGCCACATATGGCCCACTTGGTGGGGGGGAGCTCCTTTTGGGTTATACCCAGCAATGCTCAGGGGTTACTCCCGTCTCTGCACTCAGAAATTACTCCTGGTGGTGCTCGGGGGACCATATGGGATGCCGGGGATTGAACCTTGGTCAGCTGCATGCAAGGCAAACACCCTCCCTGCTATACCATAGCTCCAGCCCAACATGCTCCATTTTAAGTCCAAGTTCTTCCATCGTCCCTTGCTGGGATAAGAGAGAAGCAGGAGCAGCTTGTAGACAACCATCTGCATTCTACTGTGTCCCCCTTAAAATCCTTCACAGTGTGGCATTTTGATGAGCAAATATCCTAACAGTGAATAAGTCAAAAATGGCTTTCCTGGGGACTGGAGAGATAGTACAGTGGGTAGGGTACTTGTCTTGCACGTGTCTGCCCCAGGTTTGATCCCCAGCACCCCATCTGGTCCCCCAAGTCTCTCCAGAGGTAATCCCTGAGCATAGAACCAGGAGTAACCCCTGAGTACCACTCAGCGTGGCACAGAAAAACAAATAAAGAACATGTCTTTATTTTCCCAAGGCTCCCACTAAGAACTAAGAGTGCTTTGAAGAATCTTTGTCTGCGTATATGTCTGTATGGGCGAGAGGGTGAGAGGGCCTCGTTCTCACGTGCTTGGAAACCTACTTACCCGTATTTTGTGTCTCTCTCGGGTGCCAGTTCTCAGTGCAAAGGTGGAACCAGGTAGCATTGGCAAACAGAAACATTCTCCATAGTGCCTGGCCAGGTCGCACTCCAGACACATGGGGCAGAACAGCCCACAGAGACCTAGCAGGAAGCACGGGAAAGGAGGCCAGCGCTCAGCTCTTCTCAGATCTGCGTAGTCTATAGAAGAGTCTCTCCAACCCTCCGATCCCCAGCCCTGCTGCCTCTGAGCCCCGCAGCTAGATGGAGAGGAACCTGTCAAGCCTCAAAGCTGCGAATGGAACATGGCCAGAACTGAGCCACATCCACATTGTCTTCTTTTGGGGCCCAGAGAGATAGTACAACAGGTAGAGAGTGCTTGCTTTGCATGCCGGCGACCCAGGTTCAGTCCCCAGCATCCTATCTGATCCCCTAAGTATCACCAGGAGTGATTTCTGAGTGTAGAGCCGGGAGTGAGCCCTGAGCATCACCAGGTGTGGTCCTAAAACAAAACAAAAATATCTTTATTTTTTGTAACGCTTGCAAAGCTGAACCTAAGACACTTCTGTGAGCATTCACTATGGTCATTGTCTTTTCCTGTCTAACAAAACAAAAACAAAAACATCATTTTTACCATTCAATCATAGCTGTTGCTTCTATTTATACTTATCTACCTGGTTTCAATACTTAAAAGATACAGTTGGGCCAGAGAAGTGGTACAATGGGTAAGGGGCTTGCCTTGCATGCGGCTGACCCAAGTTTGATTTCCGGCACCCCATATGGTCTCCCAGGAGTGATCCTGAGCACAGAGCCAGGAGAAAGCCCTGAGCACCACTGTGTGGCGGAAAGAAAGAAAGAAAGAAAGAAAGAAAGAAAGAAAGAAAGAAAGAAAGAAAGAAAGTCACAGTACACACAATATCAGACATTTTGTATACTTCATCCTTTTGGATAGTAGGCATATTTTTCTTTTTTTTTAAATAATGTAGGAGTACTACTATTTGTTCAACCATTGATTAAGCTGATTGGATTGGACATGAACTCCACATTACTTTTTTATTTTATTGTATCACCATGAGATAGAGTTACAAAGCTTCCATGTTTGATATTCAGCCATACAATGACGGAACACCCATCCCTCCACCAGTGCACATTTTCCACTACCAATGTCCCAAGTATCACCCCCCTCACATACATACATATCACAGTCCTCACCCTGCCTCTGTGGCAGAAAATTTCCCCAATACCCTCTCTCTAATTTGGGGCATTAATTTTGCTCTAATTTTCCCACCACCATTCAAACCTACCTGCCAGAGGCAGACACTAGATAATATATACTCCATAGCTCATTTTGAATATCACAAAAAGTCCACATGGGAACAATTGTAAATGTAAATTTCTAGATTGTAAATGGTTGGGTTCCAGAGACATCTCTGTATGGCACTAAACCATTTTGGGATTCAACTGGAGCCTCTGGGTCAGGGTTGTTGGTGCACTAAGATGGCATCCAGAGGCAAACTGTGGGTGTGACAGCCAGACTTCTGGGTAGGTGGTGACCCAGGGAGGGACAGCCCAGGTCCTCTCCCACCATATGGCCTGGAGATATAGTCCTGAACCCAACCCGCATACTTAGGCCTTGCTTTAAAAGCTCTTGGTCGGGGGCTGGAACAATTGCACAGTGGGTAGGGCATCTGCCTTGCACACGGCCGACCCGGGTTCGATTCCCAGCATCCCATATGGTCCACTGAGCACCGACAGGAGTGATTCCTGAGTGCAGAGTCAGGAGTAACCCCTGTGAATCGCCGGGTGTGACCCAAAAAGCAAAATAAATAAATAAATAAATAAATAAAAGCTCTTGGTCACTGGGATTCCATCTGGAGTAGGTGGGGAGACTGCACCTGCTCCATCTGGGGTGTCCCAGCAATATTGGCTCGGTATGAGGTCCAGAGAGATCTCCGGTGCTGTCATCTGGGACTTGTTGCTATTTCTCTGGGCCAGGGCTGTTGGTGCACTAAGATGGTGCCCGGAGGCTAATTGTGGGCATAACAGACAGTCTTCTGGGCAGGTGGGGACCCGGGGAGGGACAGCCCAGGTCCTCTGCCACCATGCAGCCTGGAGATGTAGTCCTGGAACCCACATAACTGGGCCTTGCTTGTAGAAGCTCTCGGTCACCGGGATTCCATCTGGAGTAGGCGGGCATATTTTTCTCTAACTGTGATCAAAGTCTGGTTCCGCTTGCTGTGCTTCTCAGGACTCTAGTTCTTAGGCCAGTATAAGCTTAGCTGACTTCATGGAGCGTCTGCCAGTTTTAATCAGTCAATGGTCCGAGGTGAAGCTTCTCAGATGTCAGCTGGACACAGTCTGCTTTAACTCCTGCATTCAGCTCTGCACTTGTTCTGCATGAACATCTATTGCAGAGGCTCTGTTTTCAGTATGTTTGGGGTCAGAGTCTCTGCTGCGAATATGACCATAGCTATCAATCAGCTCCTCGAGGGAGAAGAAAATGACAGACACACAGACACGCAGAATTGAAGAGCTTCACGGGCATGCACTGCAGGCTGTGAAGCCCTGATTTACAGAGCTGTTCTGAACCAAGAAAACAGCACAGGGGTTAAGGCTCTTGCCTTGCATCCTGCCGACCCTGGTGCTAATCCCCAGCACCACAAATGATCCCCCATTCCCACTCACAGCCAGAGCTCACTCCTGAGCACAGAGCCAGCAATAGATCCTGAGCAGCCCCAACTCCAGAAGAAAACATTGGTTATGGGAAAGGCATACTGGTGAAGGGGTAGGTGTTGGAACATTAGAGAACTGAAACCCAATACAAACAACTTTGTAAACATGTATTTCACTATGATTCAATAAAAAAAAAATAAAGAAGATAGTATGTCATCTAGCACTGCTAAGGATGACCACCTTGATGAATAAAAAAAAAAATCAGGACTCTAAGAGAGGGGAGAGGTAAACTTCACCTTTAAAAGAAGTGTATTCGGGGCTGGAGTGATAGCACAGCGGGTAGGGCGTTTGCCTTGCACGCAGCCAACATGGCCAACCCAGGTTCAATTCCCAGCATTCCACATGGTCCCCCGAGCACCGCTAGGAGTAATTCCTGAGTGCATGAGCCAGGAGTAACCCCTGAGCATCGCTGAGTGTGACCCAAAAAGCAAAAAATAAATAAATAAATAAATAAATAAAAATGAAAGAAGTGTATTCAGGGGCTCCTGGTTAGGAGAATACCCCACTGTGGAAGCTTCCTGCTCACTCCCCTTTATTTTCCTTATTCCTTATTTGTTTGTTTTTTGGAGGGTCCCATCTAGCCATGCCCAGGGGTTACTCCTGGCTCTGCACTCAGGAATTATTCCTGTTGGTGTTTGTGGGACCCTATGGGATGCTGGGGATCAAACCCAGGTCAGCCACAGGCAAGGCAAACACCCTGCCTGCTGTACTATTTCTCCAGCCCTAATTTTCCTACTCTTACATAAAGCCCTTATCTGAAAAACAGTGAATCCAATAAATGTCACTGAGGCATAATTTTTCAACATTAAGAAGAAATCGGGCTGGAGCGATAGCACAGTGGGTAGGGTGTTTACCTTGCACGTGCCCGACCCGGGTTCAATTCCTCCGTCCCTCTCGGAGAGCCCTGCAAGCTACTGAGAGTATCCCACCTGCATGGCAGAGTCAGAGTAACTTGTTTTTACTGTTTTTTGGCACATTGAATACGTCACGGGGAGCTTGCACAGTCTGGCAAGCTCCCCGTGGCGTATTCAATGTGCCAATAACAGTAAAAACAAATCTCCCAATGGAGATGTTATTGGTGCCCACACAAGCAAATTGATGAACAATGGGAGGACAGTGCTACAGTGCTAAGAAGAAACCATGTGGAATAGAGCAGGGATCACTAAGTCAATGATGGTTGGAGGAATCATTCGGGATGGGAGATGAGTACTGAAAGTAGATAAAGGACCATACATGGCAGCCTTTCCATCTGTATTGCAAATCATAATGCCCAAAAGTAGAGAGAGAGTAGCACTGTAGCACTGTCCTCCCCTTGTTCATCAATTTGTTCAAGCAGGCATCAGTAATATCTCCATTGTAAGACTTGATGTTACTGTTTTTAGCATATCGAATACGTCACGAGTAACTTGCCAGGCCTTGCAATGCGGGCGGGATACTCTCAGTAGCTTGCCAGGCTCTCCGAGAGGGACGAAGGAATTGAACCCAGGTCGATCGCATGCAAAGCAAATGCCCTACCCGCTGTGCTATCGCTCCAGTCCAGAGAGAGAGTATGGAGGAAATTGTCTGCCATATAGGCAGTGGGAGGGTTGGAAAGTGGGTGGAGGGCAGGGGGTATACTCGGGACATTGTTGATGAAAAATGTACACTGGTGGAGGGATGGGTGTTCGATCATTGTATGACTGAAACTCAAACATGAAATTTTTGTAACTGTATCTCACGGTGAGGAGGAGGAGGAGGAGGAGGAGGAGGAGGAGGAGGAGGAGGAAAAAGAAAAAGAAGAAGAAGAAGAAGAAGAAGAAGAAGAAGAAGAAGAAGAAGAAGAAGAAGAAGAAAGGGAAGCATGACCCTAGGTAGCACCACAATCAAACCTATCATTGTAGTCATGGAGACAAGCAACCAGCAACCAGGAAGGGAAGGGAGAATGTATAGAACATATAGAAGGAAACCCGGGATAACCCCCTCTACCCCCAGAATCACATCATGATAAAGCTGGCAAGTTAAGTGATGAATCAATTGCCTGAGCGGCCACTGGAACACACAGAGAGAAACACACAGGATCCTCAGTATTCCATCATGAAGAAGTTTCTTGCTTCAGAACTACTGTGCTTAGTTGTTAAGTCATGTGTACTTTTGAAAAACGAAACCCAAGCACAAAATTTGTGAGTCTACAACTGTACCTCATGATGTCTCACTAATAAAAATTTTTAAAAATTAAAAAAAAACCATTATTTTCATTTTCAATCCTGTTGGTCATATAAACCATGTCATTTAAGTGTTCACCGGGAGATGGTCCTAGATACTGAAAGAAACACAAACAAAGCTCAATTATCTTGATGGCACAGCAGTCAGATGTGATTTTTAAAACACACTTCGGCTTTGCACACAACCATCCTTTGTCCGATCCCTGGCATCCCATTTGGTCCCCCAAGCAGTGCCCGGAGTAATTCTTGAGTGCAGAGCCAGGAGTAATCCCTGAGCATCACTGGGTGTGACCACAAAAAAGCCAAAATTAAATAAAATAAATAAATGAAACAACTCTAAAAGCCAAGGTGGTACTACGCAACAGCTAATGCTTATACAGAATTTACCTTGGGACAAAATATTAGTTCTGCTGAAAAAACACTTTACATTTATTAACTCATTCATTTCTCACAACAATCCTATAAAACACACATACAGTGGTAGTTATGCCCATCTTAGAGAGGCATGAACTGCAACCCAGAGGATTTAAACAGCCCTGGTCAGGCCTTCATTAGAAAGGTTTGAGAGAGAACACATTTGAATGAAGGTCATCTGGCTCCCAAATCTACACTACTATACCCAACACACCTGTTCGTGCATTCCTTGGTGTGGCTTACTTAGCCAGCAGTCACACTGGCTGGGGATTTGCAAGCATCAAGACACTGTGGTCAGGAAGCCAGAAAGACAGTAAAGTGGGGAGGGCACTTGCCTTGTACGCAGCTGACCTGGGTTGTTCAATCCCCAGCATCCCATATATGGTTCCCTGAGCCCACCAGGAGGGAAACGAGTACAGAGCCAAGAGCAAGGTGTGGACCCAAAACAAAACCTTTGTGGTCAATAAGTATATTCCAGTAATTATGGAGACTAGTGGTACTACCACTTCCTGTTTGCTCTCATGGGAGTTTGAAACACCCAACTTCTCTAGGAATGAGCCTTGGCTGGGTGAGGGGTGAAAAAGTACAGTGGGTAAAGCCGTCAGGTCACATTCAAGAGATGTGTAGGGGCAGAGGATGATTCGGTGACTTAAGGAAAATGTTGGCAAGCACAAGGCCCTGAGTTCAAACCCTGGCGTCACTTGCAAATGTGGACATGATCCTGGCAGTCAAGCAATGTAGCTTGGTGCCTTAGGCAGCACCCAGAGCAAATGTGAGGTCCAGAGTTTGATTCCCAGTACTGCCTCTACACCACATGATCCTGACTGCTCCATTTCCTTGGTGAGGGGAAATAAAGAATGATGTGCAACAAAGGAGGAATGGAGGGCCTGGAGCAATAGTACAGTGGGTAGGGCATTTGCCCTGCATGCAGCTGACCAGGGTTCAATCCCTAGCATCCCATATGGTCCCTCCAAGAAGCGCTAGGAGTAATTCCTGAGTGCAGAGCCAGGAGTCACCCCTGAGCATCGTTGTGTGTGAGACACAAAAAAAGACAAAAGAAGTATTTTAAAAGAAAAGGAGAATGAAACTGTTTGTTTACAAGAGTCTCTAGGAGAGGGGTTGGAGCAATAGCACAGTGGGTAGGGCATTTGTCCTTGCACGCGGACAACCTGGGTTCGATTCCCAGCATCCCATATGGTTCCCTGAGCACCACCAACAGTAATTCCTGAGTGCAGAGCCAGGAGTAATCCCTGTGCATTGCCAGGTGTGACCCCCCCAAAAAAAAGTCTCTAGAAGAAACTTTTGCAACGTATATTGCAAGTTAAGGAGTGAGTATTAGGGGAACAGGAGTGAGCTTACAGTCCTAGGGTACATGCATGCATGCAGGAGGTGCCCAATATAACATGGTTCCTCAGCACCTGGCCAGCTGCTGGTAGGCAGAAGTGCACCTGGGCAGTAGGTCCAGGAAGAAATCTGCTAGGATTTGGGTCAGCTGGGCCAACTTACAGGGACAGTAGGAGTTGTCCGGTGCTAAGTCTCTGCTCTATGAGGTTCAAGCGGCACCAGCCTGGATGATTGGAATCTAACGATGTGGGAGATCTTCCATCTCAGCCCAGCTCAGTTGCCTGTGGATTCAGCTCCCCTGACAGCCCCCAGCATCCTATGAGCTTTAGCACAAGTTCACTTCTTCCCAGACACCAAAAAAATGACAGTGAGAGCCACAGTCTTGGGAAATATTACGTCCAGGGCAAGAGAAGCAGTACCTCTGGTTGAGGCTGGCCTGGCATGGGTCTGACTTGGGTTGATTCCCGGCACCACATTTGGTCTCCAGAGCTCTGCCAGGAGTGATCCCTGAGCACAGAGATAGGAGTAAGTCCTGAGCACCACCAGGTGTGGCTTCCCTGCCGCCTGCCTCCTGCCTCCTTCCTCCCTCCACCCCACCAATATATATTATTAGGCCTAGGATCTTTTCAGTTTTGAAATTGACAGGCTGACCCTCATCCCTTTAAGAGAATCGTCCACATCCAAGAGAGACCCAGTAACCCAGTTGCTTCGTAGAGCAAAAGCATCGGGCCAGTAAGAGGATATTTCTATGTGGTACCCAGGGATGAGTCATAATACTCCAATTAAAATGGAAATGAGGGACGGGTGTGAAGAGATAGCGGGGAGAGTGCTTGCCTTGCACGTGACTGACCCGCATTCCATTTCCAGCAACCCATAGGGTCCCCCAAGCACCACCAGGAGTGATCCCTGAATGTAGCATCAGGAGTAAGCCCTGCGCATCGCTAGGTGTAAACCCAAAACAAAAATAGAACTGATGTGCTTTGAGCTGGAAGCCCAGGTGGGAAGGGAAGCACGGAGATCTAGGAAAGTATCATGTTGTTGGTGCCAGTTTGAAGTTGAACCAGTGTCTGAAAATAGTTGAATCTTTTTTTATTATTATAAAAGTCCTACACATTTCTCATAGAGATGCACAAAAGAAAACTCAAAGTATTGGTGCTGCCATATAATTTCATCAGTGGCCAAGATCCAGAGACTCTGAAATAAAGTTTCCAGAGGAGAGAAACACAAGCCTTACCCATGAGTGAATCTGCTTCATAATCACATTCTGAATTTCAGAAGCAGCATGACCTCTCATACTCTACCCCACTGTTGTAGCAAAAGTAGCACACATTTGTTTGGGTTTACCATACATGTTAGTAATCTCTTATACAAGGGGTTAATGACTCCAGGATGAAATACAACAATCTTCACTTTCCTCTTATAGTGGTAGGAAGGTGCATGGTGGTGGGATTGGTGTTTGAATATGAAATGCAATGAATTATTGTGAACAACTTTATAAAAATAAAATAAATTTTTAAAATGATTGGTGCTGGAGAGAGTCCAGTAAGCTGGATTACATGCCTTATATGTGTGAGGCCTGAGTTCAATATCCCCTCACCACCACAAACACAACATGAACACACACACACACACACACACACACACACACACACACACTTCCTGGCCCTGAGCAATGCAAGGGTAACCCTGATGGTCGGTAGAACTGGGAGGGGCTCAGCAGCACAGACCCATCTGGTTAGCCTAAGTGACCAGTGCCTCAGGAATAACCCCTACCCCCATCTCCCAAACATGGTTTAGGAGGCCTCCTCAAAGGAAAAGAATAATCTGTCAGCCTACCACTGTGTGGAGCAATAAACTTCTGTATTCAAATCCTTCTGTACACTTTTCTAAATATTTCCCCACCCCACCCCCAAGTGGCATCTAATTGTGTCGGGTTAGTCTAACCTAAGACATCTTCTTATCCCATTAAATGTCACCCTGCAACAGGACTTTCCTAACTGTCTAACAATTCAATGCTGAACACCTAGGTTGTTCCAGGTTTTTGCTATAATAACAAGTGCTGCAAAAACTTAATGTTGCAGCTTAATCTTTGCACATTACTTCCTAAACACCTAAAAATAAAACTACTGGGTCAAAACAAGGTAATACTTAAGTTTTTTATGTTTTGTTTAGTTGTTTGGCTGTTTTTGTTGTTGTTGTTGTTGTTGGGTTGTTGTTGTTTGGAGGCCATACCCAACTGTGTTCGAGGCTTACTCCTAGCTTTGTGCTCAGAGATCATGCTTGGAGGTGTTTGGGGGACCATATGTGGGGCTGGAGATCAAACCTGGGTTGGTTGTGTGGAAGGCCAGGGCCTTACCTTCTGTGTTATTTCTCCGGCTTGCAGGGTGTGTGTGTGTGTGTGTGTGTGTGTGTGTGTGTGTGTGTGTGTGTATGTGTGTGTGCGCACGCGCGCACACACATGCACAAAAAAAGATAAGAGCTTTCTGTTCCTCAGCCATATTCCCGCCCTTATGTTTCTTTTCTGTGAGCATTGCTTATCCCTCCACTGGACGGGTAAAAATCAATTTATTTTTCTACCAACAGCAGTGCAGGTGTGCTTCAATTACTTGTGTCTTTGCCAACATGAGTTTTGCTCTCTTCAAAAAATCTGGGGGAAGGAAAGCTAGCTCAAAGGACTTGAGTATATGCCTTGCAAATTTGAGACACCAAATCTATCTCCAGCACTATCTTCATGCCCCCTCCACCCCCCACACACACATAGTACTGCCAGGTGTGGCCCCAGCGACCCCCAACACTACAGGGCATTAGCACGGGGGTTGGGGCACCACCCCCCAAACACTGCTGGGGAGGTCTCCCCAAAAGATTTTACATGATCACTTATGCTATAAATGTTATGTATTTGTTCATATTTTTATATATTGCTTTTTATTTTTAATATATTGGCTTTTTATTTATTGGGAGTGGAGGTCAACCGGCGATGCTCAGGGTTTAATCCTGGGTCTCAGGACTTACTCATGGTGCTGGCTCTGGGGACGATCTGGGTCCATATGAAAGCAAGCGCCCTACCCACTGTACTAACCAACTGTGAAGCCAAGGGACAGGCTGCCAGTGTGAGGTGAGGAAAAACGTCTTCTCTTCCTGGTGGACTGTGGGCATGACCCTGCATCCCAGGGTACAAGGTCCTGACCTCAGGTAAGCTGCCCGAATGCAGCTTTCCAAGCCCCTGCTGTGTGGGGAGAAAGCCTGAAGGAGAGCGGGAAGGGGCAGAACCTACAGATCTTCTTGTCCCTGCAGACACTGAAGAGGCCGGTGCTCCAGTCACCTCCTGTCTGGACAACGGTCGCCACAGCATGCTTGCCAGCCCCACCACGGCGGGGCTGCGTCACCACGGCCTGGAGGGCTGAGCCGGGCCTGGAGAGAGTCAAGGGGATGGTTAACTCAGGGGCCAGAAAGGATGGTCCTTGGGCCCCACCGCCCTGGTTCTGCCGGGGCTGCAGCAATGCTTTGACATGGGGAGCCTGGGCTTCAATTCCCAAGAACCGCTGGGTGACATGCGCCCCCCGTAAAAAAAAAAAGGAGGCAAATCCCAGCCCTCCTCGGGGCCTCCAGGATAGCTGTCCCAAGGTGTCCCTGAAGAAGTCCAGCTCACATTGGTTCCTGGGACTGGGTTTTGTTTGTTTGGGGCCACACCCAGAGGTGCTCAGGGCTTACTCCTGGCTCTCTGCTCAGGGCTCACTTTTAATGAGACCTTATGCGGTGGGAGGAATCGCGGCCATTAGAGGAACATGTGGCCTCCTGTACTACCCAAAGGTCATGCATCCTTGCTCAAGAGACTGAAAAGGAGTTGAGTCACTGAGCCCACAGTTAGTGAGATGCTAACCGGGATGTTCCCAATAGGGTTTGACATCTGACACCCGTGCTGTGGTCCCAGTGCACCTTTGGGCTGATCCTCCCTGAAGGGCAGGAAGCTGCTGCCCCCCAATCCCTCCGACATAAAAACTGTGAAGTCAAGGGACAGGCTGCCAGTGTGAGGTGAGGAAGAACTTCTCTTCCTAAAGTCGGAAGTTGGTTTTGGTGGACTGTGGATGTGACCCCCTGAGTCCCAGGGTACAAGGCCCTGACCTCAAGGAAGGGGTAGGTGTGGCAGATTCTGGGGGCCAGGAAGGAACTCAGTGGGGAAGCCCCCAAGATGGGTTCCAGAAAGAAAAAGAAAGTGTGGGCCTGCTCCAGGCGCTCAGGGTCCTGTCACGTGCTTCCCTTCTGAGAAACCTCGCTGGGCTTGCTCCAGCAGTGGCCTCACACTGCCATCCCCCGCCACCTCCCCCCCCCCAGACACCAACCCCCAAAGAGACTTTAGACCTCGATTCTGATTCCAGTGTGCAGAAAGAATGACAGAAAAAGCCACCTCAGGGGCTGAAGCAATAGCACAGCAGGTAGGGCGTTTGCCTTGCATGCAGCCGACCTGGGTTCGATTCCCAGCATCCCATATGGTCCCCTAAGCACCACCAGGAGTAATTCCTGAGTGCATGAGCCTGGAGTAACCCCTTAACATTGCCAGATGTGACCCAAAAAGCAAAAAAAAAAAAAAAGCCCACCTCAAACCCAGGCAACAGTGAGTTTCTTCCTGAAACAGGTGCTGCAATGTTAGTCGCTGGAATCCTGGGATGCTGAAATGCCAAGAGAGTCCCACCTGCTAGTTAACAGCAGGGCACCCACTTCTTTCCCAAACCAGGCCAGGCCACGACTACACCTTTTCAAGGCTGAATGGGAGGTGACACAGCTCCTGTCTTTCGCTTTTGTTTTGTTTGGGAGTCACACCCAGAGGTACTCGGGGCTGACACCTGGCTCTGCACTCAAGGAGTGCCAGGGATCAAACTCAGGTGACCCTCCTGCAAAGGCTGCCGATCGCTCTAACTCCACCCACTATTTGTTACACAGTCATTTGCTACTTCAACCAAAAAGCTCAAGTTGGAATCGCAAAGGGAACAGACACAGGAGGGCTCACCCTACTTCCTACCTCCAGCTGGAAGCAAACTGTTGCTCATCTTCCGATGACATGAGTGAAAGCAACAGAGGTGAGTGCATGTTGAGTAAGGAAACGTCTTCAGGAAGCCCAGAGGCATAATTTCCAAAGCAATTCATAGCCAGGAGGCGTTTTCTTATTCCTGGACTAACCTTGGTCTTCCCACAAGAGGCGCGGGTTTAGTCTGGAACTTCTCTTCCAGAGAACTCTGTTGACTTGCAGTTCTGGAACCTGAGGTCACAGCAGAGTAACAGGCATCTAATTTCCTTGAAGTTCCACACCGCAGAGCCTGGGGAGGTTAGTACAGTGGGAGAAGGCACTGGCCTTGCTTGTGGCTGACCATGTTCAATTTCCGGCACCCCATATGGTCCCCCAAGCCCTGCCAGGAGTGATGCCTGAGCACAGAGCCAAGAGGAAACTCTCAGCACAGCTGGATGTGACCCAAACACCTTCATCCCCCCAAAATACACATATAACGACTCATTCATCAAATTGATGGGAAAATTCAGGATCCTTTTATTTTTTCAAAGAGAGAGGAAGGGCCGAGAGGTAACTCAGTGGTGATATCTCAATGGTGTGTGCTTTGCATGCAAGAGGTTGGTTCAATCCCCAGCACAGAGTCAGGTATGTTTCCAAAACAAACAAAATCAATTGTTCAGGTATGTAGCTCAGCGATACAGCATAGGCCTTGTTTGTGAGGCCGAAGATTTAATCCCTGGCAGCACGCGCGCGCGCGCACACACACACACACACAAACATACACACACACTTTAAAGGGACTCAAAAGGCTACAGATGTCTGTCTTGCTATAGAACTGGAGTTAGCAAGCATCCAAGATATAGCTCCAGTTCAGGAAATGATGTGAAGCCAGACAAACACGAAAGCAGGGGCTGAAATGCCTCTCAGCTCAGGGGGCCTATTGGAATCCATCTCAAAGATGATTTCCAGGGGGCCAGAAAGATAGTACAGTGGGTAGTGCACTTGCCTTGCATGCAGTAGACCCAGGTTCAATCCTCAGCATCCCATATGGTTCCCTGTGCCCTGCTAGGAATGTTCCTGAGCAACATGCCAAGTGTAGCTCTGAGTACCACCAGGTGTGACCCCCAAAATAAATAAACCCAATGTGACATCCGTTTTCTTCAGCCTTTCAACTGAGTGCTGCTTCTTCAGTTGAGTGTGAGGTGAAGTCGGTTTATGCTTAGAGGACTCCATGTCCAAAAGTCCTTTTGCCCAGAGTCAGGGCCCCACATATGAGAAGCATACACTCTCCCACGGAGCCACATCCCAGCTCTGAAGAGCATCTTCGCTCGTTCTGAGAGGCACCCGGGTGCATCCGAGGGCACAGAGGACCCATGAATCCCAACTACTTACTCGGAGGGAGCCGGTTAAAGGGCCATTGAACAGATGGGAAAATGAGTCCTTTAATTGACTTTCCTTAGTTGGTGGGGGGGGGGGGGGGGATGGGGCGGGGTGAGGAGGCTGTTGATCTTGCTCTTCTCTGCCAAGCACACACAGTTTAATTTGCCTAAACTAAATCTAAGTAGGTTTGTGCCTGGGCACCAGAGAAGGTCACTTGATTGGGGGACACAGACAGGCTGAAATCTTAAAGAAGAATCTTAAAGATGGACAAACCACATAACAGTTGCCCCAAAGGAACCAACAAAAAGGACATAATTAGAGACTTAAGTGGCAGCCAATACACCCTGACATATTCTTATCAGCATTACTGTTATGATTCAAAATTATCATCCTCACACTGACCTAAGGCTCAGTACCTGCCAGGCAGGGCACTTCCTGCTCCATGTAAATACCTCCCAGTGAGCCCAGAAACCAAGTACACCATGAGGTACGTTCTCCATTATCAAAATCCTCACTGCTTCAACAGTGATTCCACATGGGTTCACATAACTTAAAGATGATGGGGATGAAAAATCTGGAAAAGGTTTCCAAACATGCAATGACCAAAAATTAATTCAAAACCAACAGCATCATGAACCCTAAGCGTTTCTGTCAGTGCTCACTGATGCTGTATTTCCCAGTCAACAGCAGACAAAGTTTATACAGCCGGGTCTAGATGAAGATACTGAGGCTGAGTAATTGACCAAGATCACCCGAGAAGCGAATGGAAGGACTCGAAATCAGACCTTCCACTCTTCTCAGCCTCTGCCCTGACCCTATGCTCTACTGCCCTCAACCCTGATAAATAATGATGCACTTAGAGATCTCCAAGGGAGCTTTCAGTCCCAACATCAATGATTTGTTTGACGGAATCTATGATAAAGCATTCATCTTGGCCTAATAGGCTCAACTTGCAGAGAACAAATCAAGAAGCTCAATAGCACAGCGGGTAGGGCATTTGCCTTGCACACAGCCAACCTGGTTTTGATTCCTAGGATTCCATATGGTCCCCCAGCACTGACAGGAGTAAATCCTGAGTGCAGAGCCAGGGGTAATCCCTGTGCATCACTGGATGTGATCCAAAAAGAAAACAAAACTTCAATAAAAATCTTTCTATGACCAGGAAGTTGAAATTCAGATTGCCTAAGGTCATCTGGATCAGTCTATTCCCATACTAACAGTATTCCCTGCCTCTGCCAGGTAATACTATTTTTTTTTCTCATATGAAGACAGGGAGCACAGACATTTCAAAAGACATTCCAGCAAGAATCAAGTAATTCATTTGCAGTACAACAGCATGATCTTGTAACACAACGGGACTCAAGAAAAATTTGACAAATGCCGACTTCTAGAGGGGAAAATCCTCTTTCCCAATTTTTGTGCAGATAAAATAAACTGATAATAATCTTGTAAAAGTACTGCTGGTTAATTGAATATACACCTAAGGAACTAGGGCTGGAAAGTCAGCACAGTGGGTAAGACTCATGCCTTTCATTTGGCCTACCCTGGCACCACATAAAAAATAAAAACAGAGCAAAAAAATAAAAACAGACAAAAAAGTATTAGACTTATTGCTTGTTTACAAAATGGTATGTATTTTGAATGCATTTGGGGAGTATATAGTCAAGTTGAAAGAGTCTCATTTGTTCTTTTACTTGGTTTTGGGGCCACACCAGTGGTCAATACTGGCAGGGCTCAGGGAACACTATAGCGTAATGCCAGGGATTGAACCAAGTTGGCCACACGCAAGGCAAGCTCTTTACCTGCTGTACTATCTCTCCAACCACAACCTCACCAAATTTTTAAAGGCAAAATTTTCTATTTAATTAGTGTTTTCCTTTTACAGAATACAGCTAGTACTATACTGAGTAAGATCTAAAAAGTGGTTAGAAACTCCTTTACCCTTAACAAGTGGTATAAAGCAATTATTTCTCAACCTTTTTCCAAGGGTTTCTTGTAAGCTTGTTCCTTCCTGGGCATCCTACCCTGTAGCGCCGGTTGCCCTCTAATCTTGCACAGTGACCCCACCTGTGTGCCTGGATTACCTGAGTGTCTGATGGGGACCAAATAGCCCCCAGCTGAGAACTGCTGGTATAATATACACCTCATAAAAGCAGCTTCTGGATATGTTTGTGTTGATCCAAAGAAATGAGAAGCTTCTGGGCAAACAGCAGTGATGTGTGAAAGAAGAAAATGCAAGCAGGACACAAAAACTATTTCTCTTAGAAACTCCGAGAAGGAAAAAAATATTTATTAGGCCCAGAATCCCAGACTACCTAGGATTATTCGAATGACATGCAGAAATTGATGGTTAGGAAGGAAATCCACTGAAGTCTCCACTAAGGGTCTCGATCCCCACTGAGGCACCGTCACAGTGGCTGCATGGTCAGGAACAAGAACAACCCTCCCCGAGGCCACCATTAGAGAACCAGGTAGACAATGGTGTCCCCGATATCTGCCCGCAGGCCGTTCTCTGTGAGGTGGACTTTCTTGCTCGGGAGGTCCACGTGGAAGACCGCGTGCTCCGTGATGGGTGTCTTCTCTGCGTGCTCGTTCCCCAGGACAGGAACTCGCCTCGGCCCCAACAGGGGGTCATCGAACCGCATCAGCTTCACTTTGGAGAGGTCTGCCAAGAAAGAGACGACCCGTGAGAAGTGACGCGGGCAGTCCCTCCAACCTGGGCCCAAGTTCAGGCACTCTTGTCCCAAAAACACTGGAGTGTATGAACTTCATCCGGACACTCAGTGGAACCTAATCTCCCAAAGCAAAGCTAAATTCCACAGACTTTGGTCTGCTCTCAGCCTTTTTCCAGATCAAAGATCCTGACTGCTTTTGTAGGACACGTCTGCTGACGTCAGGAGCCCAGAGGAACGACTGCTTCATGGTTAAGGATTATCTCTTATGATATCTCAAATCACTTTTTGCGGGGTGACGGGGTCAGGGTGTTGGGGATCATTCTCTGCTGTGATCAAGGGTCACTCATGACCAGAGACCACAAAGGTGCCAGGATTCAAACCTGTGTGGGCCTCATGTAAGGCACGTGCCTTACTCACTACACTATCTCTCCAGCCCCATATCACTTTTGATGTACTTCAATAAACCATTATTCAGAATATTAAAAAATAAAAAGTCTAAAACTTCTTTCTTCCCAGAATACACGAAAACTCAAGAGTTGGAGCCAGAGAATGAGTACAGCAGGTAGGATGCTTGTCCTGCATGTGGCTGACCCGAACTTGATCCCCAGGATCCTATATGATCCCCGAGCACTGCCAGGAGTGATCACTGAGGACAGAGACAGGAGTAAGCCCTGAGCATTATCAAAGAAATGATACAAAGAAAATAAATAAATAAAATGAAAGAGTTGCAGCGTTTTTTTTTTTTGAAAGATACTTTCAGAGAAAAAATTACTACTCTAAAAGAAATAGCACTATCAGTTCCTTGTTTTGCTCAAAGAATGAAATTGTGTGTATTAACAAGGAGATGAGAGACAAGGAGAGATGGAGTGGGAGGGGGAGGGCGGGCTCCTCCCACTGGGGAATATTTGTCCCACGAACATATCTATCCAACAACTGAGCTCAAAAATTAATTTATTTGAGCCTGGGGCCAGAGAGGTAGTGTGGTAACTCAGGCATTCGCCTTGCATGCGGCTGACCCAGGTTTAATCCCCGTCGCCAGCTGGTTTCCCAAGTACCACCAGAAATCTGAGCACTGCCGGGGGTGCCCCAAAACAACAACAACAATAAAATTCCAGCAATTCCCAGACTTCCTAACATCAAATGGCTTTATTTTATCTGATAGGAAAATACCGTAAGTGGCAGCAAATGCTCATTGTGGGTTTATGGCCCCTAACACGCAGACACTGGCCCATGTCACCAGTGGCTCACACTTGAACGTGGTTTCACTGACACAAATCGCAGCGCTGGCATCAGTATGAACGAATCCCAGTGTGGCTCTGCCACAGGAATAGAGGTGACGCTCCGACTCCCTCCCTAGTCCTTCCTAAGCAGGCCACTGGACGGTCCGTGAGCTGCCGACCCCCTGCTGTCGCCTCCAGAGGACAAGGCTGAGCCTGAGTGGGGTAAGGTGAGAGGCGACGTAGGTGCAGAGGGCGGCTCGGCCGGGAGGGCCCCCACAAAGACCAAAGAGCTCGGAATTTAGGGTGCAGACCTTGAGGTTTACAGAGAAGTTGCCTGTGCCGAGCATGAAGGCAAACCCTGCCTCGGGGTCTACAGGGTCTACTACAGTTGTGTGTGTGTGTGTGTTTGTGTCTGTCTTCCCATCTATCTGTCTCTCTTCCTCTGTCTCTCTCGCTGTCTCTCTCCATCTGTCTCTGTCTCTCTCTATCGCTCTCCTCTCACCCCACCTCCTCTCATACCTTCCCAGACCATCCCCATCATGCCAGGCAATACTGAATCCCACCATTTCAAAGAAGCCCTTAACAGTTAAGCTTCTAAGTAACAAAACGCCTTTGCTTTGACAGTTCATCAGGTTGCTCGTTACTGCCAAGACATTCTGGGGACTTTCTCAGTGGCTTTACTAGCTTTTCTTACCCCACACCTCTCTCGGCATCAAAAGTATTGAAATTTAGGTCTGCAACTAGACCAGATTTCAGGCACTTTGCGGAAATAAGCGCATGTGCCTGATCTCGGGTCTCTAAGGGTGGATAATGTGCAATGAAGCCTTTCGCCTTCGAGTTATGAGTTCGCATGGGGCACGGCAGTGAGTGATTTCAGGGCATTATCATCCAATCTGGCCTTTGGTGGGGGGGGATCGTTTTAGCCCGTTCCCCCTGAACTTATCATCCACCTCCATATAATCGGCACTAATTAGCGGCCTGCCGGCTATCGCAGGAAGCAGACTGAGGCACGTGTGATTAATTTCCCTCCTTTCCCGTCTCAGATCCAATATTCTAAGCCCACCCCCACCAAAGCCCCCTGAGGGCTTTCAGAAGAAGTCTCAAGGTTAGAGGGTTTCTGCAGACACCGGAGGAATTTCAATTGGAACTCCTCCTAACATTTCCATCCTCTAAAATTCACAGCAGCCCCGCACCCGCACCAATTCAAAGCACTTTACAGCAATATTATTCACAGCTGGCGTGCCAAAGGATGCAAGAATTAGGCCAGTGAGAGGCTCCATGAGTAAAGACAAGAGATGGGGAACAGATTTCAGTGGATCCTAAAGAACTTAGCACTTGGGGCCAGAGCGATAGCACAGCTATGCCTTGCATGCGACTGAACCGGGTTCGATTCTCAGTATCCCATATGGTCCCCTGAGCACCGCCAGGAGTAATTCCTGAGTGCATGAGCCAGGAATAAACCCTTTGTAATGCCAGGCGCGACCCAAAAAGCAAAAAAAAAAAAAAAAAATTTAGTGCTCTATCCCAGGACATGTAACAGGAGGCAGGTTTAACTGTGCAGAATACACTTTAGGGGCTGGAGAGGCTGTACAGTGGCTGAGGCGCTTGCCTTGCACACGGCCGACCTGGGCTCGATCCCAAGTCGCACATATAGTCCCTGCACCACCGGGAGGAAGCGCTGAGCACTGCAGGGTGTAGCCGTCCCCAAAATGAACATGAGAAAACAAAATCAGAATGAACTCTGCACTGCCTCAGCTTCATACTAACACTCGCAAACAACTATTTCTTAACAAGCTGTCAGATTTATTCTTTGAGTATGAGTTCTTTCTCTTTTTTTTTGTTCTTTGATTTATCATTTATTTTTTAATTTTATTGAATCACCGTGAGATAGTTACAAGCTTTCATATTTGGTTTATAATCACACAATGGTCAAAAACCCATCCCTACACCAGTGCATGTTCCCTACTATCAATATCTCCAGTATACCCCCCCTTTCCCACCCTCCCTCTGCCTCCATGGCAGACAATATTCCCCATGCTCTCTCTCTACTTTCGGGCATTATGGTTTGCAATACAGACACTGAGAGGTTTTCATGTTTGGTCCTTTATCAACTTTCTTCACACATCTTCCATCCCGACCAGTTCCTCAAGCCATCATTTTGTTAGTGATTCCTTCTCTATTCCAGCTGCCTTCTCCCCTCGTCTCATGACAGAATATAATTGGTACAAACAATGGAGGATCACAAAATATCTTCCTGTGTGTTCGTAATTCGAAATTGTCTGCTCTCTGTGGCCTGGAAATTGTTTTTATCTTTTTGGTTTGGAGAAAGCACCACTCATTCCCTGGCGCTGTGCTCAGGCCTCACTCCTGGCAGGTTTGGGGGACCAGCTGGGGTGTTGGTGCACAGAGGGGCAAGGCGAGGACCCCACGTGCTCTACTCTCTCTCCAGCCCCCATTCCATTTATCTTAAATTCTGTAGCCGCTTCCAGGGGCCTTAATCTGGCCTCTGTGTTAACACATTGCTTTTTTTTTTTTTTTTTTGCTCTTTGGGTCACACCCAGAGATGCTCAGGAATTACTCCTGGTGGTGTTGGGGGGACCATATGGGACGCCGGGGATCAAACTCGGGGTGGCCACGTGCAAAACAAATGCACTACCCGCTGTGCTATTGTTCCGGCTCCACAATTTCTTAAAATATCCCTAAACAATCAAAGCCTGAGCCCTCATACACTCCTGGCACAGAAAGAAAACAAGGTCTACCTGTGGCTACTAATCTACACCTTTCCCCTCAGTCTCATGAGGACAGCTGGAGGTCTAATGCAAACTTTCTGATCCCTGCGGACCAACAGCTAGAAACAATCGCACCTTGTCCTCGACTGCAAATGTGATCGGCATCACAGCTGCCCCTCCTTAGAGCATTACATACTGTTCTAGCTCAGTCCCCTGCTCCTTCACAACATCTGGTCCCCCCTTTCCCGCCAGCTTGCCCCAGGCCCTTTGGACATGGTGGGCAAACACTTTCCTCTTTCAGATATTAGACATGGTGGCCTCATAATACACCACAGGAGGTAGATAAGCAACTTCAAGAGAACAGAAAATAAAAACATCTTTTTGTGGTGAAAAATACGTGGCAGGAAGGGCTGAGTTTTCGTTTGGGTCTGACTTGTTTGTGTTTGGGGACCACACCTGGCAGCGCTGGTGGGCTGCACCCAGGTGCTTGGAGGTCACTCCTGGCAGGGCTCAGGGCACCATGCAGCGCCAGGGAAGAGACCTGGCCTCCCTCACGCAGCGCCTGAGCTCAGCCACTCGACTCCCGTGCAGGTAAAGGGCTACTTTAAGTTCTCTGTTAATAAAACATTATCACCTTGAATAGCAGTTCCATGAATTAGGCCAGGTTTCCAAAAAATGTTCTACTGATGAAATGTGGCCCAATCAGTTCTTGGCTGCCACCAAGAAGTAAGAGATAATGTAAAGTAGAGAATTGCAACATTAATGTTTCCATAATTGGGGGGGGGGCGGTAGGAAGGAGAATACAGACATACACTTACTTCCTTCACACAGCTCAATTTACAACTGGCTAAATGAAAATTTAAAAGTTCCAAATTATACTAAACCTAATCACACTAATCATATACAACCTAAGCTTATTCTTGACGAGAAATTTAGGTTGGGACCGGAGCAATAGTACAGTGGGTAGGACACTTGTTTTGCACACGGCATCTAATACGGTCCCCTGAGCACCACCAGGAGGCCAGGAGTCACTCACGAGCACTGTCAGGTGTGGCCCCAAAATAAACAAAATAGAAATTAAGATTATTGGGGGCTGGAGCAATAGCACAGAGGGTAGGGCGTTTGCCTTGCACGCAGCCGACCCGGGTTGGATTCCCAGCATCCCATATGGTCCCCTGAGCATCGCCAGGAGTAATTCCTAATTGCAGAGCCAGGAGTAGCCCCTGAGCATCGCCAGGTGTGACCCAAAAAGCAAAAATAAGATTATTTACATATTTTGCCCAAAGGCACATTATTTAAGAGAAAGTTAATTTGGAAGTGAAAATATCTGAAAGTTAATTTGGAAGTGAAAATATCTGAACCCCAACTCCGGAAGTCCCAGCAGTCACGCACACACCCCAAAGCCAGTTAAAAATTTAATTCCAGCTTGACTGAATGCCTGGCACAAATCATCATGAACAACTTTGTAAACCACAGTGTTTATAAAAAGTTACTGTAAGGGGAAAATTTATATAAGTAGGCCTTACCTACTCCATGTGAACTCCAAAATAGATTAACACAGAATTGCTATAAAAGTTTTATTCGTGGGGGGTGATGGGAGGGAACCTGGGGACACTGGTGCTGGGAAATGTACACTGGTGGAGGGATGGGTGTTGGAATACTGTATGAGTGAAATCCAATCATGAACAGTTTTGTAATGGTCTATCACAGTGATTCAATAAAAAAGTTAAAAAAAAAAGTTTTATTAATGACAGGTGAGACATGATCATTACCATAACAATATCCAAGTATAAAACAAAAATTTGGTGTAATATACTTTAGATTCCGGAGCTGGAAACATATACATGTGAATGAGAATAGGCATTCTATTATATTGGATTAAATGGTTTTAATTTTCCTATTTACGTAAGTCAAAATCACATAGCAATCCATAATAGGCCCTTATTGATTTATTTTTCTAATCGTTTTATTTGCTGGTTCTTAAAGTTTCGTTGGAATAAGCCATATAAAGTAAGTGTGCCTAAGTGGGGGGCAGGTTGGGGTTGGGAGGGAAACTGGGGGTATTGATGGAGGGAAGGCCACACAGGTGGTGTTGGAACACTAAATGCCTGGAACAACTGTATAATGAACAACTTTGTAAATCATAGTGTTTTTAATAGAAATTAATAATAATAATTTAAAAAAAAGGTTCAGAGTCTAAGTGACAGGTGACCAAGTCACAAGCTGCCCACCCACAACTCCCCACACTCAGAGCTCACCCACCTACAAGTTTCTGCCACACGCACTTCCGGGAGCCGAGTCACCTACCTTTGATTCCCCGGTCCATTTTCATCAAACGCCTGATGATGGAATCACGGTTATCTCCTTGCCTGATTTCAATTCTGGTTGAGAAGTGACCATTGGATGGCTGGGGATTCACTAGGGACACGGACACGCCAGGCTGGAAAGCAGAGAAAGGAGATGTGAGAGGGAGGGAGAGGAATCTCTGCCAAGAGGGTGTGCCAGAGAACGCCAGCAGAGAGCAGGGGAGGCGGGACTCTGCCCTAAGCAGTGGCCTCGCCCACCAGGGCTCCATTCCCAACGCCCAAAGAAAAGCAGCTTGAAGTATGGTTTGATTTTATCCAAACCAATGTAAATTCAAACTCAGAAAAAGAAAAACAGAGCTCATGTTTAGGACCAAGAGCAAGGTGAAAATGACTAGACTATCAATATTAATAACAGATAGTAACAATAGTCATATTTTTTCTACAGCTACTATCAACGACTGTCACTGTCACTGTCCTCCTGTTGTTCATCGATTTTCTTGAGCAGGCCCAGTAACATCTCCATTGTGAGACTTTGCTGTTACTGTGTTTGGCATATCGAATATGTCACGGGTAGCTTGCCAGGCTTTGCCGTGCAGGCGAGATACTGTCGGCAGCTTGCCGGGCTCTCGAGAGGGGTGGAGGAATCGAACTCAGGTCGGCCATGTTGGCTGCATGCAAGGCAAACGCCCTACCCGCTGTGCTATCGCTCCAGCCCATCAATGACTAAATGCACTTATTCTTTTGGTGTTGGGAGTCACACCTGGAGGTCCTAGAGGATGACTCCTGACTCTCTAATCAGGGATCACTCCTAGTGGGGTTCAGGGGACCATTTGTGGATGCCAGGGTCCAAATCCGGGTTGGCCACGTGCAAGGCAAGTGCCCTCCCCACTGTACTATCGCTCCAACCCCTAATGGCTGAATTTCTATGTGCCAGGCATTTCACCAAGGACTGTATCAGACACTATTCTCGTACCCTTTGTTCCTACAGGGTCTCTGCCAGCGCCACGGGAGGCACCGTGCCACTCGGCAATGCTCAGGGGACCACAAGCAGGCACTCCTGTGTGTATATTATAGTAAGTTGAGCGTTACAGATCCAACCCCCCCTTCACCACACATCCTTTTATCTTGTTCCTTTATCTTGATTTATCACCTCTCTGTCCCCTTTCCAAAGCACTCTCCATTCTCCCCCTCCCTCTCCCTCTCTCTCCCTCTCTCTCTCCCCCCTCTCCCATCTCTCTCTCTCTCTGCTGAGAACCAGAAAGATAAACAAAGTAGCCCAGGGTCACAAAGCCACCTAGAGCCGAAAACCCCACTCGATATTTTCAGTGCAAAAGAGTCAACTGATTAGATTTAAAGCCATAGGAACTTAGTAGGATGTCTGAAAGTGGCTTGAAATAAAACATCGGAATAGGAAACACAAGTTTATGGAACTATTTCCATGGCCTAGATGACTGCACTTTAAAGCCACCATATCCTAAGGAGTGAGTATTCAGTACATGATGACAAATTCAGGTCTCATTCATAATCACAATTAAAATTTTTACTCTCTTCGAAACACTGAAAACGTGTGTTCTCCTCTAAAACTTTTACGTTCAACTACATGTGGTACTTATTTTTCCCCCTAGTTTATAGGCCACCCCTGGATGTGCTCGGGGTTTACTCCTGACTCTGTGCTCAGGGATCAGTCACGGCAGTGGCTAGGGGACCACATGGGGTGTCAGGGATCGAATCCCGGTCAGTTGCATGGAAGGCAAGCGCCCTACCCACGGTCTATCACTCCAGACCCTAAATGTGGTAAAAGTAAACAGGATATCTCTAAGTCCTGTGTGCTAAGAAAAGTAGGGCACTTCACAAACCCTCACAACTGTACCCTGAAAATTATCCATGAGTTCTTTGAAAACAAATAAATACAATCTCCTACAATGGCAAATCTTTACCAGTGATAAAAATATGAGAAAAATAAACAATTCCAGCGTAACATAAAATGCCCAATCTGGGGGCTGAGAGAGAGAGAACAGCAGGGAAGGCCCCCAGGCACTGTAGGGCATGGGTTTGACCAAAAAAAAACAAAAAAAAGCAAACAAACCAAAAAAAAACCCTTTATTTTTTATTACCACTATATTTTTTATATTTTTATATATTTTAATAAAAACCAAAATCTGAAATCATATTTTTATTCTTGTTTTTCTTTCTTTAAGAGGGATCTAGCCAGTGATGCTCAAGAATTCCCTCGAGACCACTCCAGAGTGGCCCGGAGTGGCCAAGCGTGCTCAGAACACGGCCCACAGCTCAGCCAGCTTTCCAGGCGAGCCGGATTCCTAATCTCAGGGTCACACCTGGCAGTGCTCTGAGCACATTCCTGGCTCTGTGCTCAGGAGTCACTCCTGCTTTGGGAGGCAGTCTCTGGGATCAAACCTGGGTCAGCAGAATAAGCATTTTATTATACTGTAGTAAATGGTTTCAATTTTCTTATTCACATAGCTCAAAATCCTATCGTAATCCTCAACTGACTCTTACTGATTTATTCTCTCTGATCATTCTATTTGCCATTTCTTAAAGTTTTGTTGGAATCAGCAATATAAAGTTAGTATGTTCTGTGCCTAAGAGGGCAGGTTGGGATTGGGAGGCAAAATGGGGACATTGGTGGAGGGAAGGTCACACTGGTGGTGATGGAACACTACATGCCTGAAACAACTGTATAATGAACAACTCTGTAAATCACAGTGTTTTTAATACAAAAAAAAAAAACCTGGGTCCTGTCACATGCCAGGCAAGTGCTGAACCCTGTAAACTCTCAGGCCCCTATTTTTCATTTGTTTTTGTTTGGGGCCACACCCAATGGTGCTCAGAGGTCATTTCTGGCTCTGTGCTAAGAGGTCACTCCTAGCTGTCTTTGGAAACCATATGGAATGCCAGGGACTGAACCCAGGCCAGCTGCTCACAAATGTCCTACCCCATGTACTATTGCTCTATTTTTATTTTTAAATCTCACAAATAATATTTGATGCCACTCAAAGCAGAACAGTATAGAGAGGTGCCTCGATCTAGCATGTTTTAAATTATGTGGTATGCAGTAAAGCAGTAATTCTGGGCTAGAGACAGTACGGCAGGGAAGGAGCTGCCTGCGTGTGGCCAATCCCCAGCACCAGACATGGCGCCTGAGAGCACTGCCAGGACAGAACCTGGGCATAGAGACAGACGGCGCCCAAAAAGCACTGCCAGGAGCGAACCTGAGCACAGATGCAGAGCCCTGAGAAGCACTGTGCATAGCCCAAAATCCAAAAGAAAACAAAATTAAACTAATCACTTAATTTCTCTAGGTCTTTCTTCCTTCTGTGTTTAAAATGATGTATTTAAGGGCCAGAGAGATAGTAGGTGAGGCAAAGCAGTTGCCTTGCAAACAACCAACGCCAATTCAAATCTCCTGGTACCATAAACGATCCCCCAAAGCACTACCAGGAACCACTCCTGAGCACAGAGCCAGGAACAGCTTCGGAGAACAGGAGGGAAGGAGAGAAGGAGAGGAGGGAGGAAAAGAAGGATGAAGTAAGGAGGGCAACAATGGAGGGAGGAAAGGAAGGAAGGGAGGGAGGGAGGGAAGAAGGAAGGAAGGAAGGAAGGAAGGAAGGAAGGAAGGAAGAAGAAGAAGAAGAAGAAGAAGGAAGGAAGGAAGGAAGGAAGGAAGGAAGGAAGGAAGGAAGGAAGGAAGGAGTTAGGAAGGAAGGAAGGAAGGAAGGAAGGAAGGAAGGAAGGAAGGAAGGAGTTAGGAAGGAAGGAAGGAAGGAAGGAAGGAAGGAAGGAAGGAGTTAGGAAGGAAGGAAGGAAGGAAGGAGTTAGGAAAGAAGGAAGGAAGGAAGGAAGGAAGGGAGGGAGGGAGGGAGGGAGGAGGAAGGAAGGAGGAAGGAAGGAAGGAAGGAAGGAAGGAAGGAAAGAGGGAGGGAGGAGGAAGGAAGGAAGGAAGGAAGGAAGGAAGGAAGGAAGGAGTTAGGGAGGAAGAGAGGAAGGAAGGAGTTAAGAAGGAAGGAAGGAAGGAAGGAAGGAAGGAAGGAAGGAAGGAAGGAAGGAAGGAGTTAAGGAGGAAGAGAGGAAGGAAGGAGTTAGGAAGGAAGGAAGGAAGGAAGGAAGGAAGGAAGGAAGGAAGGAAGGAAGGAAGGAAGGGAGGGAGGGAGGGAGGGAGGGAGGGAGGGAGGGAGGAAACTAAAAAAAGGAAGAAAACCCGCCCCTCCCAAAAAAGGAGGGGGGGCTCCATGCAATGGAGCTAAAGTCTCTTCCAGCTCTGAATCACAATAAGTCCTTGAACCTACTTCCGTTCTGAAAACATTAAGTGGCTTTCCAGGACAGCAATCTTCCCTGACTTTATCTTCTGCTTCGGAGGCAAACTTGACCTCTATGTGTTCAAGCTAAATAGAGGGGAAAAAATGAGAAAGTTGTTAGTCTCACTTAATATGACTGAAATTAATCATTGCCTCATCTTGCCAAAGAGTAAACGAGGTTTGACACTTGACAAGAAATGGTCTGTGCTATTTTATTCTTTCCCATATAAACATTAAGTTAAATCTGTAATCAATTTACACAACACACATCTTAGAGGTCTCAGACACTGCATATTCATATAGTCACGTTTGCCATCTCCTAAAATGAAGTACAGCGTCTACCCACTGGAGAAGAAAATGCAAATCAGTATAAAACTCAGAAATTCATCATTTCAGAACAAAATTTTTTTCATTTACACAATTGGAAAAACCCAGAAACGGGCAGATTACATGTCTCCAACATAATATGACCTAAATATAGAGGTATCCACAGAGAACCAGTGAAAAGATCCAAGATGTTTTAACCTGAAAATTGATATGAACATTTAGAAATACAGATCTAAAATGTCTACTTTTAATGTATTAAATCACTAACTCAGTTATAACTACATTACATAAATGATTTACAAATAGCTTTCCCCTATTCCCATATTTCATAAAATAATATTCATATTCTTATTTTTACTTTATTTTTTTAATTCATATCCTTATACCTGCATTAACTCTTAGTGTCTTCATTAGCATCGGAACTCTGGTTGGAAACCCCCTCCCGACACAAATTTCTACCGTAAATTATCTTTTCTTCTACCTAAGTTGTCTCAGAGAAAGAACTTTTAGAATTGGCCTTTTAGAATCTGAGGCTGCAGCAAGAGAGAAGGGGGCGCGCAGACTCAGAGAGAGCAGAGCCGTTGGCAGTGTCGCAGTTCCCACAGGTGGTAGCAGGTCCATGGATACGGATGATGTCATTCATTCTTTTTGATTTTGGTTTCGGAGCCACCCCGGTGGTCCTGGGTCAGTGCAACCCCCGCCTCAGTGCTGGCGGTCGCCCCCACAGTGCTCAGAGGGAAGCGGAGCTGGAACACGTGGTGTTGAGGGTGGAATCTGGGGCTGCAGCATGCAAAGCCATCGTGCTGAACTATCCTCCCCAGCCCCTCACTCTCTGTTTTTAAAGGACAGCTGATAATGTATCATGAATGAGGGTTTTAACTGATCCCATTCTAAGAATACGGGGTCAGAAGGGGGAACAGCAATTCAGAGCACTCTGTATTAATATCAGACGTTCTGAAAGCACTCGATTATAAGATCATCCACCTTTTTTTTTAACGATGTCTCTCTCGAAGGTGGGGGCGAGTGGAGTCAGTAAGATATGGTTACTTCTTTGCACACAGAGTGAACTGAAGAGGAAAGATCACCTTATCTGCCTGCAATTCATTCTACGCCCAGCCCTTCCCTTTGCTTCAAAGAAATTTTGGCTGATGTATTTTGGAAAGGCACTAAACTTTCTTCAAAGTTCCATTATCAAACAAAAGAACTAGATTTCGTTTATTATATAGGTGAAGCCTATGCTGCATGTGTAATTGTCAACATAACCCACAGCCCCTTTTTACCTCGAGGGAATTGGTCAGGTAGACGATATTCTCCATAAGGACAGCCTGTTCATCAAATTCTAGTTGTAAATCCAGAACCCGAGGTCCCATTTTCTCCAGATTTTCCTAGTAGCCCAAATGGTTTGGAAAAACAAAAACACATTAAGAATATGATGGAAAAAAATTTTTATTTTCTCTAAAGCAAATCATTCTTCTCCCAATTGATAAAAATCTTCAAATTTGAACAGTCAGAGGAAAAGCTTGGCTACATGGTTTTATCTCTGTTTGCTTGTTAATGAAATTACTCGCTCAGGGTAATTATCATTTAAATCACGGTAATATTACGGCAGCACTGAAAAGACTGAAAGAACAAGGTTCTCAGACTTATAAAATAAACGTAGTTTTATCATTTTCTATTTAGTCGGACTTAATATGCAAACCCAAACAATCTGCTTTTGACAAGGAATCAAACAAATGTGGGCTTATTAGAGAACACATTTTAACTTACCGAGCTACAACTTTAGAAATATTTCAAAGAATAATTTATAACAAAACAAATACTTTCTGAACATATTTCTATAAATTTAAAAACAAAATTGGGCAAGCCTCCCTATGGCAAGCCTCATAGGTGATGCCAGGGGTCTAATCGGGCTATACCAGGCATGTGTTCCAGCGCTTTGAGATATCCCCATGGTCCCCCCAAACACTTGGGGGTCCAAATACAGGCGTGGTTGGGGCACATTGCTAAGAAATCATAGGCCAAAGATGTGGCTCAGTACTAGAGTTTCCTCACACTGGAAGCAATCCCCAGGACCACAAAAAATTAAATGTTTTTTTTTTTTTTCTCATTTGGAACCAAACCCAGGAAAAGCTCGAAGGGGACCATATGGTACGCCAGGGATTGAACCTGGGACAGCTGTGTGCAAGGCAATTGCCCTATTCACTGTATTATTGCTCTGATCCCCCCCAAAAATATTCTTCTTTTAAAAAAATAAATTTTTTAATGTCAAACTGTGTTAGTACTCAGATATAAACCAGATATATACCAAACTCAGATATATGCCAGTACTATACCAAAAAAGGACTGCTTAGGGGCCAGAGAGATTTGCATGTAAGAAGCCCAGCACTTCAGGGTCCCCCAGGACCTGATAGCCCCCCAAGAACCAAAGTGCAACCTCCTGAGAGAAGCCTGAGCACTGTCAAGTGTGCCTCCCCCAAACAAAAGCAGCAATTCTTTAGTCTTAATTTTCTTAAAAATTAAGAAATACTCAATATTCAAAATGCACCATAATGGGGCCAGAAAGATAACACAGTGGGTAGGATGCTTGCCTTGCATGCAACCGACCTGGGTTCAATCCCTAGCGTCAGGAATAAGCCCCAAACAGAGCCAGGTATGGGCCCAAAAGAAAAACTAACAAACCAACAAAAAAATATGCAACCTACAGAATTCAAGTTCAGGACCTGGAGCGACAGTCTAGCAGGTAGGGCATTTTGTACACAGCCAAAAAAAGGTTCGATTCTCAGCATCCCATACAGTCCCCCAAGCATGCTCAGAAGTAATTCCTGAGTACAGAGCCAGGAGTAGCCCCTGAGCATTGCCAGGTGTGGCCCCAAAACAAAACCAAAAGGGAAAAAAAAAAGAAGAAAACAACTCCAGAATTTAATTTCATATGCACTATATCGACAGTCTGTAATGCGTAGGCAGCGCTTATATGAATGTGCCGACATGATTACAATACTCACTGCCTCCACTTCCCTTCAAAGTTGCTTCTCTTCCCATAAAAAAGTGCTAGCAAGACATTTTCTTATTCCCAGATTTACTGAGCACTTTCAACAGTTCAAGCCACTAATTTTGGATGGCAAATCACAAATACGATTGAAAAACTGGGGCCAGAGTGACAACACCGCAGGCTGGGTCTGTGCCTTTGGGAGCCAGCTGGGTTCGATCCTCACAAATCTGTGTGGTCCCCCAAGCCCACCCCAAGCGATCTCTGAGCACAGAGCCAGGAGCAAGCCCTGATCACCACTGGGCGTGGCCCAAAAAAAATCAAAAAGAAAAAAGAGAAAGAAAAATACAATACTGTTTCATCTAACATTAGTTGTTTTTTTTGTTGTTGTTGTTTTTATGGCTTTTGGTTTTTTGGGTCACACCCAGCGATGCTCAGGGACCCTATAGGATGCTGGGGATCAAACCCAGGTTGGCCACATGCAAGGCAAATGCCCTACTCGCTGTACTATCACTCCAGCCCCTAACATTAGATTTTTCAAAAGTCAATTCTTAAATCTAATAGTTTGGAACTTTATTTCAAAACAGTTTCACTGGATTCTGTTAAAGCAGAACATCAAGACTATCTTTACAATCAACAAGAGAGTATTTTCTGGAATGCACACATTGACAATGGGCCTGGCATTTCGGCCAGTGGCATCAGTGGGTTAAAGGAAGCACTGGTAGGTCTGCACAGCAGACATTCTCACTTGATTAGTGACTGCCACCAGGATTTTAAATTATTTCTAAAACTGCAAACACCATAGTACTCTGATAGTTGACTGATCTGAGAGAATTAAAAGGCTATTCTAAAGAATACAATTTTCTCCAGTATACGAAAAGCTAAGAGTTTTGATCTCCATCAAACATCTGCAGGAAAAACATTTGAGTATTAAAGCATCAAATGAATCACTAAGTGGTTTCCATAGGTTAAGTTGTAACATATTCACATTTAAAAAATTTTTTAACTGGGTCAACTACTTGAGCTGTTTTGTGTTAAATATTACATTTACTCTTCAGGCATTCCTAAAGGTAGGACTTTCTCATCTGATAGATGAGAAAACTGTGACTCAGAGAATTTAGGTGGTTTGTCAAAGCCTCATAACTAGAAGTGAAAGGATTTGGACCAGAATTTGTCTGACCCCAAAGTCTACGATCAGGAAACCATATGTGACATTGGGGATCGAACCTGGGTCAGCCACATACCCTCCATAGTACGTATTTTCATGTATTGACAATTCTGTAAGCATCCCCCAAATATGATAGCTTGTTTTCCAGAACCATTGGCCAAGAGTAGTTCTTTGGGTCTGTCTAGAGTGGCTTTTTAAATTTTGGTTGTTTTTCTGGTTGGGGGAATATCCTCTAAGTTGCCTCCCTGGAGTTGTAAGTGATATTTCTAGCAATTTCTTAGGGAAGTCTGGACCCAGTTTTCCCTTCCCTGTACTGTACTTTTTCTTTTTCTTGTTTGGTTGGTTGCTGGCTGTTTCTGGGGCCACCCCTGGCTGTGCTCAGGGCTCACTCAGAGATCACCTCTGGCAGGGTGCAAGAGGCCATGTGCAGTTTGGGGAACAGAACCCGGGTTGGCTGCCAGCAAGGCAAGCTCCCAGTCCCCAATTAGCTCTACGGTCCCATGGTTAGCATTGTTAACCAAGGTCACAGCTTACCTTAATCATGGCAACAAAAGGCATCACTTTCTTCATGTATTTCTTCAATTCTGGTAAATTGCCTAGTTCACTAGCAATGACTTTGTTATCAGGCAATTTTCCATTGTTGGTCTAAAAAAACAAAATAAATAAAAAGAGTCAAGAGGGGCTGGAGCAATAGCACAGCAGGTAGGGTATTTGCCTTGCATGTGGCAGACCCGGGTTCGATTCTCAACATCCTATATAGTCCCCCAAACACTGCCAGGAGTTAATTCCTGAGTGCATAAGCCAGGAGTAACCCCTGTGCATCGCCAGCTGTGACCCAAAAAAGGGGAAAAATAATTGAAAATGATAAACATTTACACACACACACGTATATATTCCATATATATTTCAAGACAGCAGACCTGCCATGGAATAGATCAGTCATAGAATTGAGGTCCCCAGAAGTTCCAGAGAACAGCAAGAAAAGAATATGCAGCCCCTCCTGAGCGCCATGACATGTGAAAGGTAAAAGACAAAACAGGCAAAACAGGCGGGGCTGGAGAGATAGCACAGCGAGTAGGGTGTCTGCCTTGCACGCAGCCAACCTGGGTTCGATCGCCGGCATCCCACATGATCCCCGAAGCACCGCCAGGAGTAATTCCTGAGTGCAGAGCCAGGTATAACCTCTGAGTATCGACCCCTGAGTGTGGACCCCCCAAAAAAACCAGAAGGCTGACTACTATTCACACTACATATTTAGGGTAAAGGAAAAAAGCAATTATTCAACTTTTCCACATCATACCTGCACCTCTGGGGTGTTTGCATCAGGTAAGAATCAGTTAAGAGGGGCAGAAACAATAGTACAGTGGGGAGGGCATTTTTCTTGCCTGCAGCCAACCTATGTTCGATCCCCAGCATCCCATATGGTTCCCCAAGCACCACCAGGAGTAACTCCTGAGTGCAGAGCCAGGAATAACCCCTGAGCACCACTGCGTGTGACTCAAAAAGGTAAAAAATAATAAATAAATAAATAAAATATTTCAAGGGGTCAGAGCTATAGCACAGCAGTAAAGTACTTGCCTTGTATGTGTGAGACCCTGGATTAATCCCTGGCACCACAAAAGAATAGTAATAATAATAATAATTTTTGAAGCATTTTATTCCATTAGTCATTACCCCACCACCACCATCAAAGGAATAAGACGAGGACCAGAGAGATGCTCAAAGAGGTCCCAGAGTCCACCCCCAGGGCTCACTGAGGCAGCCAGGCCGAGAGCACAGCCCAGGAGGCCCAAAGCAATTTTTAAACTATCACACAGTGTTGATTATGTCTACATTTGAATTCTCTTCCCTCTGTTTACCACACATGGATAAAGAATCCAGGGACGGGGGCGGGAGGAGAGAGAGAGATAAAGAGGGAGAGGGAGAAAAGGAGAAAGACGGGGAGAAGAAGAGAGGGAGAGAGGAAGAGAGAGACAGAGACAGAGACACAGAGAGAGAGACAGAAACAGTTCAGCAGTAAGGCTTTGCCTTGCATGCGTCCAATTCCCAGGACCACACATGGTCCCTGGAGGCTACTGGAAGTGATTCCTAGGAGCAGAGTCAGGAGTAAGCCCTCAGCACAACTGGATGTGACACAAAAATATCACACACACACACACACACACACACACACACACATACTGGAGTCAAGCATAAGAAAGAATCCAAAAGAAAAGTAGCATTTCATAAGATACCCAAGAATCCATTCGCTTTCAATTCTAATCTTCAGTGATGTGAAGATTTTAGTGCTGTGGACTTTTGGGGTGCAGTTTGTTTGCACAGAGCTGGGGATGGAACCTGGGGGGGGGGGGCTCAGCACATGGAAGGCCAGGACCCTGGATGGAGCCCCAGGGATCTGCTTTAAACAAAGGGAAGAGGACAGGAGAGGAGAGGAAACGGATCTCAGAGAGGGCTGACGCAGGGGCCAGAGACAGCACCTGCACCACACAGTCATGCAGCGGCTCTCCCGGAAAGTGAAGAATCAATCTGGGCATCAGAGCAAGAGCAGAGTGGGCAGGGCAGGTGCCTGGCATGCTGCTGACTTGGACCCCATACGAGCACAGTGAGCACTTAATGGGTGTGACCCCCAAATCAATCTTGGTTTTTGTTGTTTTTTTCTTTTGCTTTTGGGTAATACCCAGCGATGCTCAGAGGTTACTCCTGGCTTTGCACTCAGGAATTACTCCTGGCAGTGCTCAGAGGACCAGATGGGATGCCAGAGATCGAACTCAGGTTGGCTGCGTGCAAGGAAAATGCCCTACCCGCTGTACTATCTTTCTGGCCCCCCACTCTTGATTTTATTTATTTTTTTCTTTTTTAATTTTTATTAGTGAGACACCAGGAGGTTCAGTTGTAGACTTACAAATTTTTGTGCTTGGGTTTCAATTATACAATGATCAAATACCCATCCCTCCACGAGTGCCCATTTTAAAGCAAAGCTGGTGAGGGGGGTCTGAGGTCCAGGGGTTGGGTCACGCCCTTCTGGGCTCCAGAGATTGTGTCCCTCCAGGCAAGAAACTTGAGCCCTCCACAGGAAAAGCACATGCCCTGGCCCTCGGGCCATCATCTTCTCATCTCCTAAACTAGTACTGGTCGGTTCTTTCAGGTAAAGGGAAAACTTTAAAAGGAAATGATTATCCTAAATAACAACATATGACAATGTTGACCTGAAACCACATAATATCTCGTCAGTGAAGGCTAAGTAAAAATAGAACTTCTAAAAGAACAGTGGTGGTATATATTTTTTAAATATCTGGGACATTACATACTATATTTAGTTATTCCACTGTTTCCCCAAAAATGTTGATATGTGGAGAACTGGTCCAGAGAAACGACATATGACCAGGGCCAGAGCCTGGCATCCTCGAGGGACCCCCAGCACCGCCAGTAGTGATGCCTGAGTGCAGACCAGGGGTAATCCCTGAGCATTGCCAGGTGTAACCCAAAGAGCAAAAATAAAATAAAATAAAAATAAAACAAAAAAAAACTGATATTACCTAGGGTGAGGAGGGTTGGATGGGAAGAGTCTGAGGGACACAAGGGAAGGAAAGAGAACTCTGGCAGAGGATGTGGGTATGCATGAAACTTCCCTTAACAGTATTATAAATCTTGCTACCTCAATAAAAAAGGAAGAAAGGAAGTAGTGGGGGTGGAATCATAGAGGGAGGGGTAGAGGAAGAAAATGCTAGTCTGAATATATAATCCACTGAGGCACAAATTTATCTGCCTGCCCACCCAAACCAGCAGTGCCCAAATTTGCAAGATTCCATTGGCTACCTTTTCTATTTCCATCACACACAATCCAAAGAGGAAGTTGCTATCCACATGAAAAGGTTCAAAAGGAGGGGATGGAGCACCAATAGTACACGTAGGGTATTTGCTTTGGTCTATTTCCATATTTTAAGTGTGAAAGGGAAAAGACAGTTGAACTTTTTTCTTTAAGAAAACCTAGAACTAATCTGAAGTTTCCTTTACATATAATTACCATATTTAATAGCTACCTGACAGTCAAAAAAAAAAAAAGAAAAAGAAAAACTGAGCTTCCCATTTCTATGAGGAATTAATATTTTTTTTAATTATACAGGAGTCAAGCTTCACATTTTTTCAAACATATTAAGGTATAATAGGTTTAGATTTTATGAATACCAGTGTTTTAAGTCACAACAAATTTGAGAGGCATATGTAGTTCTTCTGCTTTATAATTTTAACCAATGTATGAAAAAGTCCCACACACGTAATTGCATGCAACCAGATTGTGTATGTGTGTATAAAAATTTCAGAAACAAAGGCAAAATAGCAGTTTTCTCGGTGCCCACTTCAGGGCCACTAAGGAAAACAAGAGATACGCCAATCTTAGAAGAAACTCAAACAAAGCTCCTACCTTTCTCCTCCCAGATACTGTCCCCCCCAAAAAAAGGCACAGTACAGGGGCCACCATGATAGTACAGCGGGTAGGGCCGTTTGCTTGGCACATGGCCAGCCCAGGTTCGATCCCCAGCACCCCATCAGGAGTAAGACCTGAGCACCACCGGGTATGGGCCCCAAAACCAAATAAATAAATAAATATGGAAAAAACAAATTGGACAGGACACAACAACAGAGGAGTGAAGTCTCCTGAGAGCATCACCTCAAAGTGCTTCCGGAGCACTGACAGAGTGACATGTTGCCAAGACGGATAGTTCTTTGCCACGTAGATGGTGCAGTGTGAAGGCTTCTGAGGAGGCTGCTTGTCCGTCTTCTGTAGAGCAAAAAGCAAGGTGAAGATACACGATCACTTCTAGAAACCCAGAATGAAAAGAGTTTCCCCTCAATTTACAGCACCACCGCCTATCACACTGCATTCATCAGAACATCTGTATGGCAGGCATGCGCTCTCTCTCTCTCTCTCTCTCTTTCCTCCCCCACCCCCACCCCCATTTTGGGCATTATGCTTTGCAATAGACCAATAACTTTTAAGGATTGGCCTGTTCCAGTTTGTTTTAATTTTTTGTTGGCTTTTTTTTTTCTAATTTAGTCACCATAAAATTGAAACATTTTTCATGACTGGGTTTGCCACCTTCTCTTGGCTGAACGCTTCCCTCCCTGTCCAATGTCCCAGCCCCCACAGTGGCCCATTTCCTACTGAAGATGAGACCTCATGTTCTTTGTTTCCATCTCCTTGGGTACTTGTTAGGAATAACCGTTTTTTGAAGAGATGGTGGCTTAGGCACACCTGACCATGCTCGGGGTTTACTTCCGGCTCTGTGCTCAGGCATCGCTCCTGGGTGAATTCAGGGAATCATCTGGGGGTACCAGGGATCAAATCAGAGGAAGGTGAGGGTCTTCCCCACTATACTATCTCTCTGTGCCCAGGAATGTTTTTAAAATGTTTAAAATTGAAAAAGAAAAAAACAAAAAACAAAACATATGACTTTACCTTTCCTTTGGCTGGCATCATATAGTTCTTGAGTCGCAGCCGAAGGTCATGAGCCACTTCCATGAGGTACTGTGAGGAACGTATCAAGGCTTCATCCACAGGACCCGCCACAGGCCACGAAGCATTCATAATGGAGTCCGACTGACATACACAAAAAGGCCCGAGGAGATTAGACATCTATTTCATGACTCTGGGCTGCAGTTCCACACCCCGGCTGCCATCTGTAAGTGCCAGCTCCACGCCTGAACCTGACTACACATAACACACTTCCCACAGTCCCTGATCTCATGTTCCCTAGAATTCAAGCTGTGAAGTCTGACTCTACATTCATAATTAGCATCCATTTGAAGAGAGTATTAATACCCACACACATATGCTCACTTTCAAAGAAAATTATGTAATGCTAATTTGCCTAAACTGAATCATTATTATATAAATTATGCACACTCTCAGTTTTTAGTCTATTAATACCTCCAGTATGGAAAGTATAGCTCTTCAGTATATGCATCATGAGTACAGGCTGCACTGTTTGTGCACTAGAAAATACAAAAGAGACTGGCCAATAAGGCTGAAAAGGAGTTATTAAACCAGCAAATCTATTTATCTGCAAGCCTGGGAGAAATAATTGAATTTACCTTCACAGTAAGAATGCTAATAGAATACCCCTAAATATAGCCCGATACATTCCAAGAATTTTATATAAAACCGGGACTTTATGCAAGCACTTCTTTCTTTGTTTTTAAGCAGATCACAGTCATTAATTATATCATTTTCAATATTTACACCTTTTAAACAAACTGTTGGAAAAACCACATTAGCTATACATGTACTCAAAGGTGTATCTGAATACATGCAAATGTATTATCACATTTCATAACAAGATTTAAGTGAAATCCAATCTGGATCACTTGCTCTTCAAAGAAATGTGTGGAGGCACAGACATAATGCATCTGTATATACAGGAATTGTCCATTTACTCTACCGTGATAACTATAATGATGATCCAGCATTATTCTTTTTGGGCCACACCCAGTGATGCTCAGGGTTACTCCTGGCCCCATACTCAGGAATGAATCCTGGTGGTGCTGGGGTACCATAGGCAGTGCCGGGGATCAAACCCAGGTGGGCAGCATGCAAGGCAAATGCCCTCCAGGCTGCACTGCTGCTTTGTGTTTTGGGACACATCTGGAGGTGCTCAGGGCTTCCTCCTGGCGCTATGCTCAGGGATCACTCCTGCTGGGGCTTAGGGAACTGACCACACAGGGTGCCGAGGATCACCCTACCCACTGGACTGTTGCTCCAGCCCAACAATCTTTTTTATTTTTAATTTTTTATTGAATCACTCTGAGATAGACCCTTACAAAGCCATTCATGATTGGATTTCAGTCACACAGCATTCCATCGTTCCACCAGTGTCCCCACGTTCCCTCCCATCACCCCCTCCCCCCACCTCCCTCAGGCTGCTTCTATGGCAGGAGCCCAACAATATCTTAACTGCTGAAAGGTACCTTTCCCAGGAGCATCCAGATATGCTCACACAGATGGGGACAGAACGGAGCCAAGAGGAGAGTCTGGACTTCAATGAACCGGAACACGAGGTCCCTGTGCATCCCTTCAATGGCCAGTTCCCGGTACTTATCTTTGGAGGCCTAGAACATTCGAGACAAGTTACCACTTTTCTCCCCTCACTTCTTTGAAATAAAAATAAAGAGGGAAAGTAGGTTATCGCTTTCTAATGCATTTTTAAGTTTTGGGTCTTTTAAAATGCCATAATGAATTCTGGTGCAGCCTTTTATTTTTAATATATTAATGATTCTCAAAAATACAAATTCTAAAAAGACATTTTTGTGACAGCCATAAAAGTTGACAAATTTAAGCTATGGACTACGGGCAAATGCTCTGAGCAGCATGCAGAAAAGGTACTTTCCAAACAAGGATATAAATACTACACATTGGCATGCTCAGTACTTATCTTTATTTAAACTGTATCTCTGAAAAGCAAGTTACATAAATCCCAGTCTGATTTTATAAAACCGAGTAAAGAAACATTTTTCGAGTTGCTTGAACTGCCAAACTTGAGGAAATACTGACACCTTGTGGGAAGCCAGAAAATATTGCACTAGTTCTCCAACTAATGGCAGGGACTGATAATTCCGTATTTTCACCAAGTTAGGAATTTTCCTAGAAATGTATCCATTTTCCTAGAAGACATAGCTGATGTTTAGACTCCATCTCTTTGTTAATGGCTACAGTTCAGCCAGAAACAAAATTAATTTTATTAAATAAACACAATGGGGAAAGCATCAAAGAAATTGTTTAGTGGAGAATTGAAAACTTCCTTGGTTAAGACTCCTGGTCTTCACTTTAATTTTCATTCCCTGTGTGCTCGGGAGCCTCCCCAGCCGCGCTGGGGACCAACCAGGACACACCTGGTGGTGTCGGGGAGGCCAAGTGGTGCCAGGGATCAAACCTGGGGCCCTGGGTGTGACAAGAATGTGCGCCAGCCCTTCGCACTGGTTCCTCAGCCCCTAAGTAACCATTTCAATGACCTACCAGGGACGGGATACTGCCTGCCTACTAGGACTGGGGGTAAGGGGATGAGAGAGAGAGAGAGAGAGAGAGAGAGAAGGCATTTATTCATTACACACTGTTATGTTATAGCAGTAGAAGGGGAGAAAGGTAAAAATACATCATTTCATTTCACACTGACATGTTCAAGCTACTAAAAGCATAGCCTACCTGAAATTCAAAAAACCCTGTTTTCAAAGCTTCTTTGAACATCATCTTTTCAAAGTTTTGATCTGTTTTTATAATTCCTGCATTCATTTCACTATTGAATGGGGAGGAAGGGGAAAAAAAAGATTTTTGAGTTTAAAGGCAAGCACATATGGGTATAAAAGACTGCTGATATACTAGCAGACAGTAACATGGGAATAGTTCCTGAAATGCTCAAAGCCACTTCGCCACAAGCCCTCCTTCCTGTTCCTTAGACCTGCCGATTGCAGGGTCACAGAGACGGTCCAGGGGTGAAGGCCCCGCCTTGCCTGCGGCCGACCCCAAGCACCACTGGCTGTGGCACACACACGCTCATGCCCTCCAACGGTCTCCTCACTATCTGGTTACACTGCCGTTGTGTCTGACTTCACTCCTCATGGATGGGTTTGAAACTGCATTGATAGAATCTCTCTGGCCCAAAATGCGACACGTGAACAGCTCAAGTAGTCTATGGTCACATTTAACTACATTTTTTGTTTATTTTTTGCTTTTTGGGTCACACCCAGCGATGCACAGGGGTTATTTCTGGCTCATGCACTCGGGAATTACTCCTGGCGGTGCTTGGGGGACCATATGGGATGCTGGGAATCGAACCCGGGTCGGCCGTGTGCAAGACAAACGCCCTACCTGCTGTACTATTGCTCCAGCCCCTTAACTGCATTTTAAACTACAAACAAGGCCGGAGAGATGGGACAGAAGATAACGAAGGCGCTGTCAAGCAAGTACCCTGGTTGGATCCCAGGTAGTACGTGGTCCCCGAGCACCACCAGGAGTGATCTGGAAGCACAAGACCAAGCTGGCCCTTAAGCACTGCCATATACACACAGTTCTCTCACGCTGCCCCACACCAGGTTACAGCCCAGCCTGTTCCTCTCCCCCTCCTGCCCTCCTCACACTCCACTCTACATCATCACATTCTTCTCCAGCCTTTCTCCTCTCGCGGCGAAAGAAAACATTTATTTTTCAAGAAGCCCTGCGCTCTGACAGCAGCTACCTCCTCTGAATTCCCTCTATTCCAATTATACTTTTAGCTGGTTGGGAAAATGGTTTTCTCCCCAGCTAGTCGACAATAAGAATCAAGTCTCACTCATTTTATAACACCAACACCTATGCAGGTTCCTGAGAGATACAGGCTGACGGACGTCTTTTGAAGGGGGAAACAGCCATTTCCCACTTCTAATCAACTTCTCTCCTTTGACCTACGCTAGTGAAAGATGGCATGGTAAAACGGTTTAGGACAATGGGCTTCAAAAACAAAAACAAATGGAAGCAAACCCTATTCCAATTTGCAAGCACTAGCTCTAAGGAATTTCATGAAATACTTAATTTTCCTAAGACTCAACTTCATTATCATATGGAGCCAAAGTTATAATATGGAGCCAAAGCTATTACAGGCATAGTACCTAGAATAAACTTGTGAAGAATAGTAGCTATTATTATCATCTAACTTTTTTAAGGGGGTCGGGGAGAGAGTAACTTAAAAATGCACCAGACTAAGGAACTCGCAAGGGCCAGTGATTCAGGGTTCTCCAAGTCACCTGGCAAAGACCCTGTCATTGAAGGTGCTGGCAGCGCCGCTCCTCAGGCTGTCCCAGTTGGCGACCATTTCTTTCACCCACTCTACCCAGGTGTACAGGCGGAGGATGCCTGCGTCTGCCATGGCTTCCACGAAGTTGGCATCTTCAACGGTGTCACCGGCGTCAGCCAGCGCCAAGCGCATTCCTGGAAGGAAAGAGAAAAACTATGATTTAAAACATGGTTACTAAGTGGGAACTGAGCCATAGTACAGCAGGGAGGGCATTTGTCTTGCACGCGACCAACCCGGGTTTGAACCCTGACACCCCATATGGTCCCCCAAGCACCCCCAGGAGTAACCCCGAGCATCACCATGTGTATCCCCGCCCCGACCCCCAGCCAAAATAAAACCTCACAATGACTAAATACCAACAATGTGGCCTGTTACCTACATAAGGAATAACCAAAGTCTTAAAGGACAAAACAACTCAACGGCAAAAATAACACACACCAAGAGCGGGCCTGTGCTGTTAAGGCACTTTACCCCAGGACTACAGAGAACAGACCAACAGACCCACAAGGTCCCAGGAGAACCACTAGGAGTGACCCTGGGGTAGCCCCTGAACACCAGCAGGAATGGCCGAAAACAAATCAGAAAGGCATTTGAACCATCTGTTTTGATTTGTATGCACTCAGTATCCAGATGTGTGTCTTCCCAGGCCTGTTGGATTAACGACACAAAAGTGATCCCTAATGAGGCAGAGGAAGAAAATGAGAAACTGGGAAAAGAGATCCCTACCAACATCTCAGGCTCATCTGGAGATGGCAAAATATTGTATTTTAATGCATGACAACATACACTGGCATCTACGCCCTAAAGGTATATTCTTCTAAGTTCTCAACCAACAAAATTTTACTTCTCAGACTAGGGAACATACCTCAGCCAGCAAAACCCCATGGGCCAGGAGGCACCAGGACCGAAGTGTTAACTGCAGGCACTCCTGGGTCCCAAAGCACTGCCAGGTGGGGTCCTAAACTTAGGACCTAAAGGTCATAAACTTCGGTCTAACCTAAACTTCCCCTATTTTTTTTAAAAAAAGAAAAACACCTTCTGCATTATTCCAAAAGAAACGTTCAAAAACGTCAGCAGAGCGAGAGAGCCAGTTAGAGGAGTTTGGGCCCTTGTCTTGCAAGCCGCGGCTCCAAGTTTGATCCCTGGCACGCCAAATGCTAACCTGGTGCCATAAGTAAGCCCTGAGTCCTGTCGAATGTGGCCCCAAAAAAACAAAAGAAAAAAAAAAAAGAGAGAGAAGATACTGAGGGCCATGCAGATAGTCCAGAGGAGTTCGCCCTGACCTGCACAGGGCCACAATTCAGTCCCTCCCTATCTCCACACAGCTGCCTCCCCAAAAAAGTAGAGTACATAAAGGCGGCGTGGTTGTTTCCTTTTCCTTTTCTTGGGCAGTGCTGAGGGCTTACTCCTGGCGTGGTCTGGGGGACAGTACGTCACACTGGGGCTAGAATCCACTACCAGGCAAGTGCCTGCCCATGCTCCGAAGTTTTATTTATTTATTTAGAAATATCTCTCTCTCTCTCTCTCTCTCTCTCTCTCTCTCTCTCTCTCTTTTTTGCTTTTTGGGTCACACCCAGCAATGCACAGGTGTTACTCCTGGCTCTGCACTCAGAATTACCCCTGGCAGTGCTGGGGGGGGGGGGGGGGGGGCATATGGGATGCTGGGAATTGAATCTGGGTCGGCTATGTGCAAGGTAAACGCTCTACCTGCTGTGCTATTGCTCTAGCCCCTACTCCGAAGTTTTAAATAAATAAAGACTAATCATCTCAGTGTGAATGTTTTCCTGAAGATCACATCAGCAATGTTTTTGAGTGTCTGGTCACACCCAGTGGTGCTAAGGCGCTACTCCCCACTCAGGGGTCACTCCTGACCACGCCCGGGAGGTGGCAGAAGGAACTGGTACTAAGGATGGAATCTGGGTCCCCTGCGTGCAAGCCCTGCCCAGGAGCCTGCCCACTGTGCCATCTCTCCTACCCTTTCATCTACTGGATTTTGTACAACAGTTTTTTGCTTTCTTGTATTTTATCAATTCACATTTTTCATCATTTTTCATGTATTTTCAATATTATGTTGTCCGTATCAAGGGAAAAATTGTGAGTGCTTTCAAATAATTGGTAAGAGAAAAAGAAAAAAGCACTACAACTCAAAGAACAATTTTCAAGTACCTGTGAGGGAAATCAGAGCTGACACAGTGTTACTGTGTCATTGAAAAAACACACACTCACCGTCGGCTGAAAACTTGTCAATAGCTTGGGTCAGAGTGAGAAAGTTGCCTGTAGATTTTGACATCTGAAACAGAGAGCAAAGACAGGTATCAGAAGACTATATATACTGGAGCTGGAGCAATAATACAGCGGGTAAGGCATCTGCCTGGCACACGGCCCACCTGGTTGGTTTCTGTTTGGGGGCCACTCCTGGCAATACACAGGGGTTACTCCTGGCTCAGCACTAAGGAATTACCCCTGTCAGTGCTCAGGGGACCATATGGGATGCTGGGAATCAAACCCAGGTTGGCCATGTGCAAGGCAAACACCCCACCCACTGTGCTATTGCTCCAGCCCCATCCAGCCCATACTCTTAAATGGAAGATTTTTAACACCCAATTTGTGCTATTGTTATTAAATATTTTAAATAGATTTTCAACACTCTGATTTTCTTATTTTTCATTTCTTATTTTTTTCCTTTGTTGTTTGGATTTTACTTTTTTTTTTAACTTTTATCAGTGAAACACCATGAGGTACAGTTGTAGACTTACAAATTTTTGTGCTTGGGTTTCAATTATACAGTGATCAAATACCCATCCCTCCACCAGTGCCCATTTTCCACCACCCACGGGTCCCAGTATCCCTCCTACCCCCTATCCCCCCCCCATCCCACCCTGCCTCTGTGGCAGGGCATTCCCTTTTGTTCTCTCTCTCCTTTTGGGTGTTGTGGTTTGCAAAAGAGGCATTGAGTGGCAATCATGTTCGGTCTAGAGTCTACTTTCAGCATGCTTCTCCCATCCTGGGGGGATCCTCCCAACACCCCCCATTTGGTGCTCCCTTCTACATCTGGGCTGCCTTTACCCCTAGAGTGTGAAGCTCGCCTCCAAGCCATGGAGTAAACCTCCTGGTACTTATCTCAGCTATTCTTGTGTGTTAGTCTCCTATTTTGTTACTTTATGTTCCCCAGATGAATGCCATCTTTCTATGTCTATCCCTCTCTTTCTGACTCATTTCGCTTAGCATGATACTTTCCATGTAGTACCACTTGTATGTAAATTTCATGACTTCATCTTTTCTAACAGCTACATAGTACTCCATTGTGCAGATGTACCAAAGTTTCTTTAACCAGTCATCTGTTCTTGGGAACTCAGGGTTTTTTTTTAAAAAAAAAAAAAAAAAAAAAAAAACACTTCCTAAATCTAAGAAGCTTGCTTTGGAGAGTTTGAAAGGAGGACTGCAAACGAGACTCACCTTCTCGGAGTTGAGGAGAAGATGCCCGTTTGCTCTCACCGCTGCCGGCCACTTGTCACTGAACATTTAAATATATTGAAAAATAGAAATAGTAACACAAAGACACCTGGCACGGGGAGGCGCAATAAGCTGCTCCTAGACCCCACAAGGAAACAGCAGTCACAATGACCTCTGGGAGTATGGGGAGAATGGAAGGGAGTTTTGAACGCTGGTGCTCAGGGGGGATTCCCCACACAGGGTCCCAGGGTCCTTCCCAGAGGTGCTGGGGGAGAATGTGTGTGTCTGCACGCAGACCCTGTGCTCCACCTGTTGACCTTGCTCTCCGCCCAGATTCTTGACAGTTTCTGTTCCTGAATTGTTTGGATTTGGACATTCTGGCTGCTGCATCCCGGGAGCCACCAAGGGTGAGAGCAAGGCCTGTTGGGGGGGGAGGGGGAGGGCCTGCCGGCGTCTGGCTCTGAGCTCGGGGCGTCGGGAAGGGTCCCCCTCTGCAAACAGGATGCTACTACGGGTCTTCCTCAGGGAGCAAAGAGAAAATTATATGAACTACTAAGAGATGAGATGAGCCGCTGACGCAAGCACTTAAGTGAGTAAATAAAGCTTTTAAAAACTAGATACAAGTTGGGGTGGGAGTCATGATACAGCAGGGAGGGCGCTGGCCTTGCACATGGTCAAGCCAGGTTCGATCCCCAGCACCCCATGTGGTTCCCTGAGCCTGCCAGGACCACAGCATGGCCCAGAAACAAATGAAAGCCAAAAACAAAAGCAAAATACCATGATGCATTCTCCATCCCAGAAACAGAAAGGCTGCTCGACCTGAAGTGTGTGTGCTAAGCTTTCTCCACTCTGGAGAAATCCATGCCCTCTCCTGAATACAACCCTCTCCCTTGCCCTCTCCCCTCATTTTCTCTAGAAAAAGTTCTTTAAAATAAAACTATTTAAAATAAAATTATTTGACTTCCTTTAAAAAAAAAAAAAAAAGCAGGGCTGGAGTGATAATACATCAGGCAGAGCGCTTGCCTTGCACACAACCAAGCCAGGTTGGATCCCCGACATCTCATCTGGTCCACCAAGCACTCTCCTGAGTGCAGAGCTAGGAGTAACCCCTGAGTATCACCCCCACTTCTCAAAAAAGAAGCTTCTTAGGGGCAAGAGAGATAGTGTAGAAGGTAAGGCTTGTCTTGCAATCAGCCAACCTGACTTAATCCCCAGCATCACACAGGGTCCCTTGAGCAATGCCAGAGGTCACTCCTGAGCACAGGGCCAGGAATAGCCCCTGAATACCACTGGGAGTAGCACCAACCCCTCCTCCCCCCAAAAAAAAATTTCTGGAGGGTCCAGAGAGCTAGTACAGCAGGTAGGGCACCTGTCTTCATATAGACAACCTGGGTTCGACCCCCAGTATTCCATATGGTCTCCCGAGCACCACCAGGAGTGCAGAGCCAGGAGTAACCCGAGCCTCGCTGGGGTGGCCCAAAAACAAACAAAAAAAAAGGGTTTCTGGATAAAACAGTAAGAAGATAACCGATTTCTCTTGAGGCTGAAGCAATAGAATAGCAGGTAGGGAGTTTGCCTGCATGCGGCCGACCCGGGTTCGATCCCCAGCATCCTATTTGGTCCCTAAAGGACCACCAAGAGTAATTCCTGAGTACCCCAAAAAAGAAAACAGAAAAAATTTTTCTTCAGAATATATTCAGTGAAACATATTCAGAGGACTGCCAGTGGTCACTTACAGGGTCAGTAGACCCTGAGCACTGGTAGAGGTGACCCAAACCACACCTCACCCCAAAAGAACCCAGGAAAGAAAAAGGATATTGGCAACTCTATATAAACCCTCCACAGTAACTTACTACTATCTGACACCCACAATAATAATCAATAAAGCCAATCCCCATCTTTATCAGCACTCACCTCTGATCTGGCCACATGGCAACATGATTATAAAGGTAATAGGAAAGATGGTTTGGGACAAGATCCTTGCCGGAGACACGAAGATCCACAGGATACCAGAACTCAAACTCCTGCCGTAACTGATCTAATTTTCCCTTCGGGATTTGTGTCTTAGGAAATGGAGCATTCTTAAAGAAAATATAATCCCAAACTTCCTTGGTCATTTGTTGTGGTCTGTATTAAAGATAAAACAAACAACAATGACAGAGTACAGACGTCCTTTCTTTGAAAGAAATCCATATTTTAAGACCCATGAGTTTGGTTACAGTCACAAATGAAAACAATTAACTCCAAAGAAAAACAAAGGTGAGAGACAGTGCAGGGTAATTAATGCCTTGGCTGTAGTCTTCCTGACACTGCACATGGTCCCCGGTGCACCACCAGGAGTGACCCCTGAGCATAGAGCCAGGAGTAAGCCCTGAGACCTAAACCCTTCCCCCCACAAAAAAAGAAGAAAAATTAAAACATGCTATAAATTTTTTTCTATCCGGTAGGAAAAAAGCATAATCATCATGACAAAAGTCTGTAAAATGAACTCTTACAAAAATCTAAGTATGGGGCTAGAGCGATAGCACAGCAGGTAGGGCATTTGCCTTGCATGTGGCTGACCTGGGTTCGATTCCCAGCATCCCATATGGTCCTCCGAGCACCACCAGGAGTAATTCCTGAGTGCAGAGCCAGCAGGAATTACCCTGAGCATCAACGCCGGGTGTGACCCAAAAAACAAAACAAAACCAAAAAAACCAGAAATACATAAATTAAAGATCACAGAAAACAGATAAATAAAAAGATCACGTCTCAGGGCTGGGGAGATGGCACAGTAGATAAGGCACTTGTCTTGTACATATCGGCCCAGGCTCCGATACGGTCCCCAGAGCCTCCCCAGGACTGATCACTGAATCCAGAGCCAGGAGTAAACACACCCGGTATGGCCTCAAAATGAAGAAAAAACAGAAGTGATCCCTAAGTACAGAGCCAGGAGGAAACCCACCAGGTTTTACTTCCCAAAAAAAACAGGGAAAAATAAGATCGCAGCTCTCTCTCTCTAAGAAACGATACTGTGTTCCTTATTCCTTGGTCCCTCATCCATTCACCCACCTGATGCCCAGGGGGGACTCGGCCTGCCCGCGCAAGTGACCCCCCTGCAACAAGTGTGCGACTGTGTAGAAGGCCATGTAGATGGTGGAGTCGGAGAGAGACTCGATCAGCCACTGCTCGTCCCACGGCAGACGGGTACCTGCACGAGGGAAGGAGGTTAGCGCCAGTGGAAGCCAGGACGGGCTGTGTTGACTGACTCTGCGTTTCCAGGGAAGGCTCTGTAGCATTTATAAAGCTGCTGACTTAGGGGGCCAAAGCGATACAACAGTGGGTAGGGAGCTTCCTTTGCACGTGGCTGACCCGGGTTTGATTCCCGGCATCCCATACCCGCCAGGAGTAATCCCTGAGTGCAGACCCAAAAGGAAGTGCTCATCATCACAGAATAGGGAGAAAAAAAAACTAGGGTGAGTGAGGGGCCAGAGCAATAGTACAGAGGGGAGGGCAAGGCGGACCAGGTTTGATCCCTAGCATTCCATATAATCCCCTGAGCTGCGCCAGGAGTAATTCCCGAATGCAGAGCCAGGAGTAACCCCCGATTATGGCCAAGTATGACCCAAGAAGCCAAAAAAACAACAAAAAAGATTTTTTTAAAAGCACTCATTTAGAAAACTGTTGTATATACAGACTTTAACGGCCCCAGGACGAAATACAACAACCTTCACACACTTCCCTCTTATTGTGGTCAGAAGATGCTCGCTGGTTAGGTGGGTGTTTGAATACCATCTGTAATAAACTACTGTGAATTACTTTATGAAAATAAAATGTATAAAAATTGTAAAAAAAAAAAAGCACTCATTTAGAAAATTCCCAGATTTACTTGAATTCTTTGGGAGGGTGGGGAATAGAAATACCAAAGAGTCAAAGGACCAGAATCCCTTTATGAAAAAAGGAATACCGGGAAAGCTATACTGGAGAGAGGGCAACTCCTCTCTACAGTAGGAGTCAGTAAGGGACTGTAAGCATCCTGTATGCCCTCACCTCTAAGGAAACCCAGAACTGCCACATCAGTAAGAGCAGGGCCAGGTAAGTAACACAGCTGGACCCCCAGGACTGCGTGCTCCCCTTCCCCATTACCATGGTGGCAACGGGTAGGCCATATCCTCGGACCCGACCATCGAACCCTCCAGTCTATTGGCCAAGGATGTCTGGGGGCAGCCCCCTGACCTGCTGCAGAGCCCCACCTCTTGGGAGCCACGTCCCCCAGCGCTGCCCCACCACCACCACCAAGAAGAGTGAAAGCACTCATTTGCTACACAACTGGCCAAGGCAAACCGATTACTCTGAGGTGGATTTACCTAAACCATAGGTCCTGGAGCAAGCATGCTCTTGGAGCCAGTCTAAGGTGGCTTCGAAATTCCTCCTGGTCTCGTCACAGAATCTGAAGAGAATCAAAAACACGGCATCTTAGGGCCGAAGAAGCAGGTAGGGCAACTGCCTTGCTTGCAGCCAACGTAGGTTCAATCCCTGCCATTCCATATGGTTCCCCAAGTACCGTCAGGAGTAATTCCTGAGTGCAAAGCCAGAAGTACCTCTGAGCATCGCTGGGTGTGACACCCCCCCCCAAAAAAAAAGACATGGCATCTCTTTTTACCTTCCCAGTCCTTCCCAGTCAGCCTCCCCCTTCCCTTCTCTGTCACTGCCGCTCAGCTTACGTTTCCAGGTTCTTCAGGCACTGAGACGTCTGCTTCTTCCAGTTCTCTTCTCCATAATCCAAGTACCTGGCAGCAGACATATTAAATGAAATGAATCAAGTTCGAAAACTGACCTAAGTGATGCCAGAAAGTTTCTTCTGGCTATAAGAGACCAACCATCAGGCCAGAGAGGACACCTGACAGTACCGCACACATCTGACCCAGGTTCAAGCCCCGGCCTCCCATGTGGACTCCCAAACATTGCTGCGAGTAGTTTCGGAGCACAGAGCCAGGAGCTACCCTTGAGCACCACCAGGTTTGACCCCAAAACCAGGAAAAAAAGACTAACCACTGATCACACAAGGCCACGACGCACTCATCTGAAGACCTGGACATAACTTGTTTCTCTGGTTCCATGTAAATAAATGCATCTTTCTAAGTGAATATAAATAAAAGCATATCAGATAATACTGTCATGTGAGTCATTAGTCTTCAAGAGTAATAAAAAACAGGGCTGATGGGGCTGGAGTGATAGTACAGCGGGTAGGGCATTTGCCTTGCATGTGGCTGACCCGGGTTCGATTCCCAGCATCCCATATGGTCCCCTGAGCACCGCCAGGAGTAATTCCTGAGTGCATGAGCCAGGAGTAACCCCTGTGCATCACCAGGTGTGACCCAAAAAGCAAAAAATTTAAAAAATTAAAAAAAAAACAAACAGGGCTGGAGCAATAGCACAGTGGGTAGGGCATTTGCCTTGCACGCAGCCGACCTAGGTTCAATTCCTAGCATCCCATATGGTCCCCCGAGCTCCGCCAGGAGTAATTCCTGAGTGCATGAACCAGGAGTAACTCCTGTGCATCACCAGAAAAGCAAAAAAAAAAAAAAAAAAAGAGTGACAAAAACAAATTTAAACGCCTTACCACCAATAAACCAGAGCCCCACCTGGCCTTGTCCTCAATTTCTATAGCACACTTGCTCTGAGTAGGGGTGAACCAGGGCCAGAGAGACAGAAATTTAGTAGGTGGGATGTGTGCCATGCACATGGCTGACCCAGGATCAATTCCCAGCACCACATATGGTTCTCCAGTCCTGCCAGGAATGACCTGTGTGTGCAGAGCCAGGAGTAAGTCCTGAGCACTGCTGGGTGGAGGGACGTGAACAATGGTGAAGAGATTGGTGTTGGAACACTGCATGCTTGAAGCTCATTAAAGAACAATTTTGGAGCTCTGTAATTCTGATTAAAAAATAATAATTATTATGAAAAATAAATCTACCACACTTCATTTGGAAAAAAAATATTTTGGTGAGGCCGGAGAGAGGGTACAGCAGATAAGGTGCTTGCCTTGCAAGCAGCCAGTCATGGTTCAATCCCTGGCACCACCTACAGGCCTCCAAGTCGTGCCAAGAGAGATCTCTAAGCACAGAACCAGGAGTGAGTTCAGAGTACCACTGGACACGGTCCAAAAACCAAAGAGGAAAAAAAAAAAGAGAGAGAGAGAGAAAAGAGAGAGCAAGAAAGGGGAAATCCCGTAAAGTAAATCAATTACATAATCCAAGTTGGAATAGGAAAGGCAGGGCTAGAACAGGAATCCAATAGCTATTTAAATTAAACGAGAAACTAAGCAGGTCTCCTACTTTCTACCACAGAACTATGCATTACCCTTGATACAGCTCAAGGTTCTGCTACCGAACTCACTGCTAATTAATGTTGAAAAGTCTGTGTCCTAACAGCATTCCTCCTAAAACACTCTACACAATCTAGCTTTTCACATACATTGTCAATCATCTTTCTCTGAATTGTCTTCTTCACATCTTGAACCTTCTGTCCTTTAAATCCATCCACCAACATTATCTAAAAGAATAAGAAATGGAAAAGAAATATATATACACATATATATACATGTATATATAAATCACAATTAAAATTTGCTTTCCCCCAAAAGTTTTTATCAGACTAAATTTACTTCTACCCCCCAACTCAAAATACTCTCGAGTGAAATTTATCATTCCATAACCATAACTTCCTATTTTGTCATCGTCTAGACAACTAACAGCCATGACACCCCTTTTTGGGGGGGAAAGGGATAGGAATAATACAACCATCATGAATGCAACTGGGAAGGAACACATGCTTCCCTCCCATTTCTCGGGCTTCCAGGGAGAGAGTTCCCTCACTAACTCTCTTCCTGAAGGCTTTGGACAAATAACACCTCTGGGGCAGCCCAACCCACTGCAGCACCTGTTTCCACCCCACCCGCGGTCGGAAGTGTTCTCCTCAGCCTGGCATGATGGACTGGAAGGCCTACTCTTTTGCAAAGCACATTTTAAACTTTTGGGAAATCTCATTCCAGTGAAGGATTAGCTTGCCCACGGCTATCACAGATCTCATTGACAAGCTCCTCCCAGCTGTTATCTGGCCTCCTTCAACCTGAAGCTTGGGCCTCCCTCAAGCAGCTTCAAGCTGACACGGGAAAGTTGCACTATTCTGCTGTTGCCTTAAAATCCTCCAACGTCCCAACCTGCTTCCTTCCTATATAACTCATCCCCGTGAAATGAGACTAGGGGTCCTGAGGGCGAGCAGCAGAGAGCTTGACTCCTCCAGCCAATGGGAGCCATGTGGACCATCCCCCATCTGTCCCCAGCCGGTTCTCTGGCCCATCTGAGGGAAATCACTTTATGTCTCAGTCCCTCAATTTCCTCACCTGCAAAATCAAATAGTACCGACTTGGCAAGACTACCATTATTATTATTATTATTATTATTATTATTATTATTATTATTATTTTGGCCGTGCCCAGTGAAGCCTGGGAGATCGTGCAATGCCAGGCTTGAGACAAGGGGTGCTACTCCAGACACAGAAGAATATCCCTGGCCCCCGTTAGATTAGCTTAATAATTTAATATATAACTACTACATAAATGTTGATTTCACCAAAAGCATATAAACCACTATATATATATTATTTTTTATCAGTTTTAATAATCTAGAAAAATGAGTGCAATTGTAAAAGTAAATTCTCATTCATACCCTTGAAAATCACTGCAGGTCAGGGACATAGCTCAAAGGGCTAGAAGGCATGCTTTGCAATTGGGAGGCCTGGGTTCAAGTCCCAGCATTGCATAATCCCCAGAGTACCACTGGAACCAACCCCCAAGCACTGAGGCATAAGCAGTTCTTGAATACCGCCAGGAGCAGCCCCGCAAAAAAGAAGGCCCAGGTATCATACGTGTAAACAAGGTGAAACTCATTGCACAATATGAACTTCATTTTCTCAGGAAATGTATTTGGGGGTAGAGGGCTGCAGAGTTAGTACGGGGGGACGCTGTTTGCCTTGCAAGTGGCTTCCCCTGGTTCAATCCCTGGCACTGCACCTGGTCCTTCAAGCACTGCCAGGGATCACTCCCAAGTACAGAGCCAGGGGCATTTCTCGACCACCACTGGTCAGGGCCACAAAACAAACCAAAATATTCATTCCTTAAAGAAAACATACAAATAATTTCTGTAAATTCTATTGGATCAAAAAAATATAAACCACACAAAGGAGTAAAGAAATAGATTAATGATAAGATTTCCTTTTAGTGTATGTTGAAATAATATTAAACTTTCCTATATTCCATCTAAATCTTTAAGATGATAACCACAGAATACAGAGTAAATTAAAATAAACACAAACAACCTTAAAAGTATTATGTATATTGGGCTGGAGCAATAGCACAGCAGGTAGGGCGTTAGCCTTGCACGCGTCCACCCAGGTTCGATTCCCAGCATCCCATATGGTCCCCCAAGCATTGCCGGGAGTAATTCCTGAGTGCAGAACCAGGAGTAACTCCTGCGTGTTGCTGGGTGTGACCCAAAAAGCAAAAAAAAAAAAAAAAGTATTATGTATGGAGAGGTGATATAGCAGCTAAGGCCCTTGCCTTGCATGTGCCCAACCTGGGTTCAACCCCCAGCATCACCCATAGTCCCCTGAGACCCATATGAAATGATCCCTGAGCACAGAGGCAGGAGAAGCAGGGAGCACTGCCAGGGTGCTCCAAACTGCCATACCCACAAAAAAAAAGAAAAGAGTATTACTTACACCATCATAAAACCCTTTCAAATATAACTTCTCCTTTGCTTCAGCGAGTTTTTCTCGGTCATTCTGGCTCTGAATTTTCAACTCCTCACAAATGGTTACGGCAGAAAGGTTTCCAAAACCTGGGATCTCCATGACTGGCACCTGCAAAAGAACAACAATGGTTGATGGTCATGAGGAATAAAAGCAGATCTCTGGCTCTGCCATCTAGGGAGCTATTCAGATTTGATGTATCACATGGCACCGTCACACACCACACAACTGCCCGGTGACTAGCTTGCAGATAGGAACAACTTTTTTGTAGGCCACACCTGTAGTCAGGGCGACTCCTGGTTGTACACTTAGAGGTTGAGAGAGAGGAGAGGAGAGGAGAGGAGGGGAGAGGAGGGAAGGTGAGGAGAGGGGAGAAAAAAAGGGCGTGCCTGCCATAGAAGCAGGCTGGGGTAGGGGGAAAGTTGGCAGGGGAGGAAAACTGGAACACTGGTGGTGGGAAATTACAGTGGTGCAGAGATGGATGTTGAAACACTGTAGGACTAAAACCCAATTATCAACAGTTTTGTAATGCTCTATTGCACGGTGATGTAATAAATATCATAAAATACATATAACGTGGGCTGGAGCGATAGCACAGCGGGTAGGACGTTTGCCTTGCATTCGGCCGACTTGGACGACCCAAGTTCGATTCCTCTGCCCCTCTCGAAGAGCCCAGCAAGCTACCAAGAATCTCTCACCCGCATGGCAAAGTCTGGCAAGCTATCCGTGACGTACTCAGTATGCCAAACACAGTAACAAGTGTCATAATGGAGATGTTACCGGGCCTGCTCGAGCAAATCGATGAACAATGGGAGGACAATGATAGTGACATACAACATATTTATAATAGACTATAAAGAGAGAGAGAGAGAGAGAGAGAGAAGGCAGGAAGGCCATGAGTGATGCAGGCCTGACGGACGTTGGAGGCCAGCGCCCTATCCCCACACTCTCCCCTGCAAGCCCCAAGACGTGCATCTCCCTTCAGTGCTCTCCAGGACACACCTGACATCTGTGCTGCTCCCTCCTCAACTCACCTTCCCGCTCCCAGCCCTCCCTGGCATGGCACTAGCTACATAACCAACACAGAGGTAAGGCAGACGCCATGCATGTGGCTAAAGCCAGTTTAACCCACAGCAGCCTTTGTGACCCAAGAAGCCAGGCCGGGAGTCACTCCCAAGCAGAATCAGGACTGGCCCGATCACCACCTGGTGTGGAACAAAACCCTCTCCAGCCCCAAATAAAAAATATATATTATTAACAGTGAAACCAGTAAAATGACATAACCAACCACATTGGTAGAGAGTATTGATTTTGGTTTATAATGTCTTCTGGGTCTTTTTTTTTTTTTTGAAGGAAATAAGGAACAGAATTTATAGTGTAGGTGGCAGGAGGGCAGCAGGCGAGACTCAAGGGCAGACTGCCTCTTCCGGATTCTGCAGGAGAGTCATCTGCTAGTAGCTAGCTGTTTCCTTCTGCAAGCACTGATTTATGGAAACCTAAATGCTCATGGGTAACACGGCAAGCACTCATCTTTAGAGGATGGAAAACAGACCCACATCATTTATCATAAATCTGATGTTGCAAAAACGTTCTTTGTTTCAGGGTAGCAAGTGCCAAAGGGAACGTTTATTGTTGGATCTTTCCTTCCTTCTGATCCCAAGGCAGTCACCAAATTAAAGAAGTAAACGCATTCTTCTTAAGGGAGGGGGGCTTGGGTCACAGCCAGTGATGCTTAACAAGCCGTTAGCAGTGCAGGGGCTGAACGGGGACGAGCAGCGTGTAAGGAAGGCGTCTCACTTCCAGTGCTCTCAGCCTCAAAGCAACAACGCAACTCTTCCGCACACTCCCTTTTGGTCTGTGCTCCACTACTTATTCGGTTTCGCTACAAGGAAAAACTCAACTCCTTCCTTTCCAACAAAGACACGGATCCCTGGGGCCCAAGAAAGAGCCCCAAAGCTGGAGCACAAGTCTCCGATCCCCGGGATTACACAGGTCCCTGGAGAGGGGTTGCTATCACTCTGGGCACTGAACCATCGGGCCCAGTCACAGGAGCAGAGCCCGAGACCTCTGAAAGGCAACCCACTCTCCAACAGCACAACACACATCGCCCAGGGACTCACCGGCTCAAACGGCAAGACCATATCATCTCGGATTCCGTATTTTGCTCGTAAGGCCTGCCAAAAAAATGGTACAAAGAAACAGTAATGGTCAAAACTCCACTGGCATAATTGCTGAGAAAAGCACCATGAAATTTTATAAAAATTGTACCCCCTTAATAAGAAATCTATGACTAAAATCTCAATGCTTGAGTAAGTGTGAATGGCTTAGAGGATGAAACTACGGAACCAAATGTTCAACACACACACACACACACTCTCTCTCTCTCTCTCTCTCTCTCTCTCTATTTTTTTCATGTTTTAAATTGCAATTGAAAATGGTATATCTGAGATGGTTTGTCAAAAAGTCTTATGGGGGCTGGAGAGATAGCACAGCGGGTAGGGCGTTTGCCTTGCACGCGGCCGACCCGGGTTCGATTCCCAGCATCCCATATGGTCCCCTGAGCACCGCCAGGAGTAACTCCTGAGTGCAGAGCCAGGAGTAACCCCTGTGCATCGCCAGGTGTGACCCAAAAAGCAAAAAAAAAAAAAAAAAGTCTTATGAAATTCATCACATCACCGAAAACTATGAACCACCAAGTTAGGAAAAGACATTTAAAAAACCATAAAGGCCTATTTCACTTTATACTATGGGAAAAGGTTACCAGGTTCCAACAACTGGCATTTTGGTAAAGGTCAAACTATGGAGACAATAAGAAGATCAGTGTCAGAAAGGATAAGAGAAAGACAGAAAAGCAGAGTTTTTTAAGACAACAAAAATACTTGATACAATACTACAATGAAGAAATTGACATTTTACACCTGTCCAAATCTACGCACTGCATTGGACAAAAAAATGGATCCTTGACCACAAAAAAAAAAAGAAAGAAAGAAATCAACAATGTACCACTCGGGTGAGTAGCACCGATCGATCGTAGGCAATCTATGCAGACGCTGGAACAAGAAGCATCTAACCTATTCCAGAAGTCAGGAAGATGGCTCAAACAAAGGGCTCAAAGGAGCCCTGTACTCACTCCCTAGTACATGGCTCCCAAGCACCCTGAGGAGCAACTCCCAAGCACCACACCAAGAGCAGCCCCTAAGTACCAGTAGGTATAGGCCCAAAACAACAGAAAAAGAAAAACCAACAATAACAACAACCCACGATTCTAACAAATATAACATCCAAGGGCTAGATAGTACAACAGGCCAAGTGTTTTGCCTTGCATGAAGTCGAACTGAGTTCAATCTCCAGCACCATATACGGTGCCCTATCCCACACCAAACACCGCCAGAAGTGATCCCTAAGTACCTACTGGTACTTAGGGGCTGCTCTTGGTGTGGTGCTTGGGAGATGCTCCTCAAGGTGCTTGGGAAGCCATGTACTAGGGAGTGAGTACAGGGCTCCCACATGCAAAGCATGCACAGAAACAGAAGCACCACCTCGTACGGTCCAAAACACAAGTAGTAAATATTGAAATTTGAAACCTTAGAAAAACATAGAAAATGAAGAAACAATTTCAAGAGAGCAGTTCCAAGAAAGCTTAGTGCTTTCAGCCCAATCCCAGGGACCGTTCAGCAGTAGCTAGGCAACAAAAAGATGACAGGAAATCAGAACCTGAAGTCGTGATTTTTCACTGTGACAATGATAGCTGACATACACAGGTGCACAACACCACTATGACAATGACAGTTGGACCTGATCACTCTGGACAAGAACTGAGTGCTGAAAGGTCAAGGGATATATGTATGATAGATATTCAATAACAGACTGCAAACCACAGTGCCCAAAAAGAAAAAAGGGAAGATAAGAAACAGAGACAAATAGAGAAGGAGAGAGAGATAAAAATAATTATCTGTTATAAATGCAGGCTGTGGGGGCAGTGGAGGGTGGGAGCTGGGGCCACTGGTGGTGGGAAACTTGCACTGGTAAAGGGATGGGTATTGGGACACTGTATTAAAACTTAGTCATGAACAACTTTGTAACTGCGTACTTCATGATGATTCGACAGAAAATTTTTTTAATTTAAAATTTAAAAAAACTAAAGACCTTGAGTTTGATAAAAAAAAAAATATATTAATAATAAAATAAAATAAAAATTTTTAAAAAACATGAAATTCAGATACTCACTTGCTTCTTCTTCAAGTCTCTGAGGGCAGCAAAATCATCAGGGGAGTCGGAGGGGACACTTGTGACGACACCGGTGCCTTATGAAAGGATGCGCGGAGTTAACGACAACCTACAGGTGACTTCCAAAGCAGTCGAGAGAAAAAAGAAACTCCTTACCTTTATCCTCCTTAATGGTGAGCATTGGGAGAACGTAGATGACCTTGTAAGATGTCAAGGGCGCAGAAAGCGAGGCACCAATTATTTCCTGTGTGAGAAAAGGGTCCATGGAAAAGGGAAATTTATTTTAAGCTTTAAGATGTAAAGCAATGTTAAAACTGAAGTTCCAAGAGGCTAGACAACAAAAACATCTGGACTTTGGGGAGTCAATCGTAGGCCACTGCCTTGCATGCAGCTGACCAGGTCGACTCCCAGGTTTAACCCCAACACCACACTCATAAGGTGTTTGATCCCCGGTTTCTTCCAGAAACGACCCCTGGGCCTGCAGAGTCAGGAGCAGGCGCTGAGCCCCGCAGGGTGTTTTTCCTAAACAAACAAGCAAAACCCATAAGGTCCCGGGGGATAGGTCTGGGCAACAATATATATATATGTCTCACACCCAGCCCCAGTTTCCATCCCCAGCACAGTGCTCAGGAGTGACCCTGAGCCCCAAACTGGTGTCAGAACCAGCCCCTGACACCACAAGGTGTGGCACCCCCAGGCCCAAAACACAAGCACGCAGCCAGCTCCCCTGGGGTTTGATCCTGGGCATCCCATATGGTGTGTCGTCCCCCCAGCACCGCCAGGAGTAATTCCTGAGCACAGAGCCAGGAGTACGCCCTGTGCATTGGCCTGGTGTGGCCCAAAATTAAACACAAAAATTCAAGTCTTTAAAATATAAAGAATAAAATATACTCAGAAATAATAACAAGTAAATAAACTCTAAGAGCTGTTAGCCATCCACCCAGGTTTAAGCAATTTACATTACTCTGATTTAATCAATTAGATTAAATCCGTGAGGTAACATAAGATCAATGAACCAAGATTTTTTTTTGTTGTTGTTGTTTTTTGAGGAGAGGCCAGAAGGCGGCTCCCAGTGTGTGTGCTCAGGAGGTCCAGGGGTTTCGAGAAGCCGTGGGTCCGTTCAATGCACGATGCTGCTTGGGCCAGCTTGGGAGTGTGGGGGACCTCCAGGCCATACCCCACAGTGCTCAGGTGCCTGGGGGGGCCGCACCCTGCAATGCTTAGGGGGTTGATGCGGAGGCAGAAATCCAACTCAGTCTGTACTATTGCTGTGCGTGCTTTCCGAGACATGTTTCTCAGGGAAAAAAAAAAAACAGCTGCGATTCGGATTCCACCGGAAATGGAAGGAATCATGCTTAAAATACTATAATACCTGATGACTCTATTAAATGTCTTTGTGAAAGCTATCTATATTTTTCAACCAGGAAGCACTCACTACGCTCATACATAAAACCTTATGTATGGTTTCATTTGGGGGGTTCAGGGAACACATGGGGCGGTGCTCAGTGCTGACTCCCGGCTCTAAGCTCAGGAATCATTCCTGGCAACGCTGGGTGGGGGACCATATGGGCTGCTGGGAATCAACTGTGCGCCAAACAAATGCCCGACCCACTGTACTATCACTCCGGCCCCTGAAGGCGGTATTTAGGAGACAAGTTATACAACAAATATTCGTCACAGCAATGAAAAAAGAAAAAAAAAGAAAAGAAAACAATCCTATGGGGCTGGGTCGATAGCAGAGTGGGTAGGGCATTTGCCTTGCATGAGGCCAACCCGGGTTCAACTCCCAGCATCCCATATGATCCCCTGAGTACCACCAGGGGTAATTCCTGAGTGCAGAGCCAGGAGTGACCCCTGTGCATCACCAGGTGTGACCCAAAAAGAGAGAAAAAAAAAAAGTCTACTCCAAAATGCAGATGCAATCCTCAGTTATAAAATTCAACACCAGAACCCAGACATGGGAAAGCACAGGTTGAGCAAGCGGATTAGGTCAGGAACTGGAGAGGCAGGGCTGGGGAAGGCACTTGCCTTGCTGGGGGCTACCATCTCTCCTCAAGTTCCCCATGCATGACTGAGTGTGACCCCCAGCACAGTCAGAAGGATGGCCAGCTGTGGCCTACACCACCACCCCCCACCAAAACCTGATGAACACGGGAGTGCTTTCGGCAGGACTAAAACTATTCTACAGTTTGATTTAGATGATGCTTACAGGAATGTAGGTAAAGAATGTAACACAATTACAATCTACAAAACTGATGTCATGGATGTTCAATTAAAGCCTGTTTTCCTGGGAAGGGCGCGTCCGCAGCTTGGGCCACAGTGAGGTGCTCACAGAACCATGCAGTACCAGGGATTGAGCCCAGGTCGGCCACAGCAAGACCAGCGCTATAACCCTGCACAATTTCTCTTACCTCAATTCCTTATGGTCTCCTCTCAAATTTTATTGTTAAAATTTCCTGAGCTGGAGCGACAGTACAGCGGGTAGGGCATTTGCCTTGCATGCAGCTGACCTGGGTTCGATCCCCAGCATCCCACATGGTTGCCCTAGCACCGCTAGGAGTAATTCCTGAGTGCAGAGCCAGGAGTAACCCCTGAGCATTGCCGGGTGTGACTGCCCCCTCCCCGAAAAAAAAATCTGCTACAGAGACAGAGAGATACTACACAGGGGACAGAGAAATACTATGCAGGGGACAGAGAGGTACTGCTTGCTCAGCAGGTGGGAAGCGTGCCTTGCATCCTACAACCAAAACTAAAAAACATTCTGCTCCAATAGCAAGTGTACCGTGCACTTACCTCTCCCATGAGTTCCTTGACGACAGGCACCACGCCGTTGTCTCTGGTAAAGCCCTGGAATGACATGTTCCTGGCCGCCCTCTGCGTGCAGATGAATATATCGCCACTCGCGGTCTCAAACCCGATGTACTTGATGTCAGGGTGGACCCAGCAGTTGGTCTGCCCAAACATGGTCTCAGGGCGCAGAGTTGCAGCTACCAAGAAGATGTTTTTGCCTTTGAGACCACTAAGAGGAGAAAATAAAAAAAAGATTTATGCAAAAGGCTGCTGTGTATTCCCCCACATACCTGAGCGCAGAAACAATGACATAGGAACTGCTTGGCATGCCTACCTTAATTTAGATGGGTAAGGTTCAAGCACTTTCAGTTTGATTAAAGAATATTCCTGTGGTCCAACACCCTAAAGAAAGAAAGAAAAAAAAAAAAGGAGAAAGAATTCGTAGCAAATCTCCTCACATATGTGACATATCTGAGATGGGAACTTCCTGAGTTTTGTTTGTGTTTGGGATGCTTAGAGCTTAGAGCTTATTCCTGGCTCTGACACAGAAACAACTCCTGGAGTTGCTCGGGGGACCATATGCGGTTCCGGGGATCAAGCCTCGGTTGACCGCTTGCAAGGTAAGCGCCCTACACACTGTACTACAGCTCTGACCCCTGAGATGTGCTATCACTGCTCTATCCTGATTCTCCCAGTGAAGGACTGGTGCTAACCGTGTCCAGATGGAAGTCTCAGAAGGCACTTGGGAAACCACCCCACACCCCACCAGGAGAGAACGGCTGAAGGAGAAATGGACACTGAGTAAGGACGGTCTGCTGAGTAAGATAGAGGGGAACTGGTAGAATAATCAGTTAAGGGGCTGGAGCCACAGTATTGCAAGCAGGGTTTTTGCCTTACACGCAAACGCAAATTCAATCCCCGAGCATCCCATATGGTCCCCCGAGCACCACCAGGAGTAAATTCCTGAGTGCAGAGTCAGGAATAACCAATAAGCATTGCTAGGCATGACCCAAAAAGACAAAAAAAAAAAAACCCTCAGCTAAAAGCGATTACCAAAAAGTTGTGATATAATCAATACCTATCCCACAAAGCAATCATCACAGACATGAACTGGATCGGGACAAATGATGTGCTTTCTGACTAGCCTGGGTACTTTCTAATAGCCTGACACAAGGAGTCATCATCTCACTGAGTATTTGGTTCATTTGCGAGATGGGGGGCAGGGTGGGCCCACACCTAGCAGTGCTCAGGGCTTACTCTTGGCTCTGTGCTCAGGGGTCAGTACTAGCTGGGCTCAGGGAAACCAAATAGATGGAGTACTAGGTATCAAACCTGGTCAGCCACGTGCAAAGCAAATGCCCTACCCACTCGACTTGGTCTCCGGCCCCTTGGTTCTTCATTTATACAGTAACTGTGTGGTGGGTGGGAAATGTGGCTCTGATGGTAGCGTCCATGCTCAGCATGTCTAAGACCCCAGCACCTCGCAGCTCTCTCAACAGCCCAGGAATACCAAGCATATAGAGTACTGGTGGGTCCCAAGCACGGCCGGGCCCAGCACTTCTCACCACTGGACAGTGGCTCCTTTAAAAACAAATGGAATTGTGTGAGAGACTGAGGATGGGCTGAACAGGACTTACCTCATATCTGGGAGGCCCTGGGTTCAATTCTCAGTAACACACATACACACACACATACAACAACCACAACAACAACAGTCAGTGGCTAAGGATATAGTTCCGTGTAGAGTACAAGCTGCAGATGTCTGAAGCCCTGGATTTAATCTATACACTTAGAAAAAGTATAAAATAGGGGCTGGCACGATAGCACAGCGTGTAGGGCATTTGCCTTGCACACGGCCAGCCCAGGTTCAATTCCCAGCACCCCATATGGTCTTCTGAGCACCAACAGGAGTGATTCCTGAGTGAGGAGCCAGGAGTAACCTCTGTGCATCGCCGGGTGTGACCCAAAAAAAAAGTATAAAATAAATGTGCTGGGGCTGGAGCAATAGCACAGTGGGTAGGGCATTTGCCTTGCACACGTCCGACCCGGGTTCGATTCTCAGCAGCATCCCATATGGTTCCCTGAGCACCGCCAGGAGTAATTCCTGAATGCAGAGCCAGGAGTAACTGCTGTGCACTGCCAGGTGTGACCCAAAAAAATTAAATAAATAAATAAATGTGCTATACTTTCCTCGTGTCTATCCAGAGAAACACATAAAAGAAAAAAGCGTAGGGGCAGGAAGAGATAGTACAGGAGTGACAGCTTGTCCTGCTGGAGGCCGACCCAGGCTCAATTCCTGGCATGACATAGGGTCCCCCTGAACCCCATCGGGAATGATCCCTGAGCATAAGGCCAGAAGTAAGCTCTGAGCACTGACTCAAGGTGGGGAGAAAAAGGGGGACACACGGCCAAGGCACCACTGTGTATGGCCAGAAATACAAGTGTCCAGACCTGCGACGTGCTGTCTCTCTCTTCAGTCACCAGATCGTCATGATTATATACCTCATCAGTGGAACATCATTTTTTAAGCTTCTTATTTTTTTCATTTTTGGTCTCAAAAGATCCAGGGGTCCCATCTGTGATTTTTAGCCAACTGGAGAAGTCATTTGGCGTTAAGCCCAAGGGTGCAGCGTTGCAGGGACCTGATGCTACTAGGGGCACTCAGGGCCACCTCCAGCAGTGCCTGGGGGACTAAGTGGGCCAGGAATCAAAATCAGGTGAGATGCATGCTAGCATGGACCCTAACCTATCCCCAACCATCCCCTGCTCTACTTCTTAAACTCTATGGCCATATTAAGAATTATAACAGAGGGCTGGAGCAATAGCATAGCGGAGAGGGCATTTTCCTTGCACGTGGCCAACCCGGGTTCAATCCCCAGCATCCCACATGGTCCCCCAAGCACTGTCAGGAGTAATTCCTGAGTGCAGAGCCAGGAGTAACACCTGCGCATCACTGAGTATGACCCAAAAAGAAAATAAAAAATTATAACAGAGCCAGAGACAATATACAGCAGCTCGGGCATTTGCCTTACACCATGACCAATCCAGATTTCATTCCTGCCATGTGGTCCCCAAGCCCTGGTAGAAGTTCTCTGAACACAGAGCCAGGAGTAAGACCGAAGCACAGCTGTGTGTGGCCCAAAGACCAAAAAAAAAAGTATGCCAAAAGGTCAGAGGGCTAGTAGAGAGATTGAGGCACTGGGCCTCCAAGCAGCCGACTCTGGTTCAATCCCAGCACCAGATGGTCCCCTGAGCAACCCCTGAGCACAGCACCTGAGCACTGCCAGGTATTACCCAACAATTCCCCCTCCCCAGAAAGAATTCTAATAATTGAGTTTCTGAGCAGTAGTACAACAGGTAGGGTGTTTGTCTTACATGCAGCTGACCCAGGTTCAATCCCCCCGCCAGGAGTAATTCCTGAGTGCAGAGCCAAGAGTAAGCCCTAAGCATTGCCAGGTGTGACCCAAAAAGAAAAAAAAAAAAAAGCACCAGGAATTCTAAGAGTCTCTCTGCATCACAAGTAATTACCTCTCCCGTTTGCCTATCATGGTCCATACAAGGCTGTCCATCCTTCGGAGAATAAATGGTATACCTGAAAAGTGAATGTCACAAATATTATGAGACCATCAAAACTTTCCCTGACATGGGGCTGGAGAGATAGCACAGCAGGTAGGGCGTTTGCCTTGCACGCGGCCGACCCGGGTTTGATTCCCAGCATCCCATATGGTCCCCTGAACACTGTCAGGAGTAACTCCTGAGTGCAGAGCCAGGAGTAACCCCTGTGCATCACCAGTATGACCCAAAAAGAAAAAAAAAAAAAACTTTCCCTGACATATCTGCTAGTGTTACTCCTAACATCTTATGTCTTCTAACTAAAACTTATAAATAAGCAAATATTCCCAACAATTACTTATTTATGCTTTATGTGAGTAATTCTAGTGCCAGCCTAGTAACTTGACGAAAGTGTTAGGCTCATCAAAGATAGCAATGAAATATATGCAATGAGCTTGGCTTTTGTGTTGGGAAACAAAGACTTTATGAAGCGTAAGTCTACTTATGAAATGCAAATAGCATTGTAATTAATCCATATAATGGAGAAAGAAATCTTCCCACAACTTAGAAAACAAAGGAGAAAACTAAAATGTACAAATAAAATGTTTCTACTCGGCTTTGAATACTGCAGAGAATTTTTTGCAAAAACATGAAAACCAGCCCTCCTCTTCTCCCTAGCTCTCTCCATCACAAACAATAAGCACCTCAGAGAAATTAAGATACTGGCAAGACAAGAAAAACAAAGAACACAAAAGAAAGATCACAAAAGGAGTAAGTCTAATGGGGAAAGTGATGGCCCAGATGAATCACAATGCGGGAATTAAGCAGCTTTTACTTTACTAAAGAACTCACTCACCGCTTCCCAAACTTGATTTTGTTTCTTTCTCTTAATGTTAAAAACTGCCACCTGACAAATGAATCATAGTATGGATTAACATCAGTGGTGATGAAGGAGCGACGCCAGTCTACCTACGGAAGGAAAGAGGAAAAGATCATTTTCCAGAAACCTAAACACAGCAGGCACCAGAATTCCCAGTAGCAGTGATGAACTCGTTATATTTTTCCAAATAATAATTATGGCAAGTATTAAAATAAAACAGCTATTTCAAACCACACCTATCAAACTCAGATATCACAACTCTCGTAATTTCAGCTTACTACGCATTTTTAACGTATAGGGAATGTAATAGGTAAAGAAGGAATACTTGTCTCACTAATGCTCGAGCGGGCCCAGTAACGTCTCCATTGGAGACTTTGTTGTTACTGTGTCTGGCATATCGAATACTCTCGGTAGCTTGCCGGGCTCTCCGAGAGGGGGTCTCACTAATACAAATAAAAAAAATTTTCTTAGGGTCTGACTATAGTCTAGTTCAATTTGGTTCATATTTATATAGTCTTGAGCTCTTAAACTCAAAAATTATCTTTAGACGTAAATGGTAATTGGATCTCAACATTTTATACTCTGAGATTAATGAGAATAAATTTATTTCTTAAAAAAAAAAAAAAGAAGGAATACTTAGGGGTCCAGAGGACAGCCAAATGCAGTGGAGCACAATTCTGACACCTGGGGAGCAACCTCTGAGAACTGAGTCGGAAGTGGTCTCCACACCCCCACGCCCCCAACACACACAAAGAAGAAATTTTTTTAATGATACCTCTATGGGGGGACCAGAGAGATAGTATAATGGTTAAGGTATCTGTCTTGCACACAACTGACCCCAGTGCACACAGCTGTTTTGGGTTCAATCCCTTGCACCGCCCCCCGCCCCAAGAGTGATCTCCAATCTCCAAGCATAAAGCCAGGAGTAAGCCTTGAGCACCACTGGAGGTAGCCCAGCATAAAAGAGTACCTCGGGGCTGGAGCAAAAGCACGGCAAGTAGGGCATTTGCCCAGCCCGGGTTCGATTCCCAGCATCCCATATGGTCCACCAAGCACCGCCAGGAGTAATACCTGAGTGCAGAGCCAGGAGTAACCCCTGTGCATTGCCGGGTGTGACCCAAAAAGCAAAGAAATAAAAATAATTTAAAAAAAAAAAGAAGAAAACCTCTATGTCTGCATATATATATACAAGTTCAAGTTTGGCTTTTTTCACTTTTTGTAACAGAATGTCTATGAACTAACACATAAGCGTATTTGCCAATACAACAAAATAAAGTGCTCCAGTCATTATATTGAGGCGCATCGGGTTCTAATCTGACAACGAATGAAATAGAGGTGGAATATATCACCAGTCTCCATGAAGAAGCGTTCTAGATCTAAGCAAGGAGGGACATCTGAATGTATCCTTCCTACTTTCCTGGACTGTCATGGTGATGAGCGTACCTTCAAACCCATTCTCTTCAAATCCTGAATGGCCAGTGGCGGGAAGTAATCGAGCCAATGCTCCGCTTCGGAAAACTTGACTATCTCTTCATCAGACAGACCCAGGGACTTCATAATGCACCACTGGTACTTGGAAGATCCAGCTTTAGCCACAGCTTTGCTCTGGAAAGAAAAACAAAACCTCCATCAAAGAGCAACCAAAAATTAATAAACTGCTGCAAAATGACCATGACTTTTTTTTAATTACTACCATCTGATAACTTTTCCATTCCAAAGCAGTATGGCTGCAGGAGTTCAACGCACTCCTCTGTTTGCCTGACTTTGCAGTCTGACACTCAACAGCTCGGTCAGCTAGAGTAACTAAAAAGCATGGCGAGAAAGCTCAGCCCATGCCAGCCCATGTGTGGCATGCTGGAGGCCCAATTCCAGCCCACGCAATGAGCTGCTCCCTGCAGCATCCCTGGGTATGGCCCAAAAGCCAAAACAAACAACACAAAAACAAGAATAACACCAAGGGGTGAATCCACAAAGAACTTGCATCACTAGGGTGTGATCTCAGCACTAAACTTTTTCACCTTCCCTTTTGTCTAGTACCACATGCATCTCGTCCTTATAAATTAACTGCTTGTATGAGGGTTCCCCTTTTCTAGAATTTAACAGTATCAGAAAGGCAACCGGGAGCCGGAGCAATAGCACAGCGGGTAGGGCGTTTGCCTTACACGCAGCCAACATGGCCGATCCAGGTTCGATTCCCAGCATCTCATATGGTCCCCCGAGCACCGCCAGGAGTAATCCCTGAGTGCATGAGCCAGGAGTAACCCCTGAGCATCGCCGGGTGTGACCCAAAAAGCAAAAAAAAAACACAAAAAGGCAACCAGATCCCTTTCATTTGGAGACAGACAAATGGCAGAACTATAAAAAATGTGAAGCAGAACAAGGGAGACTGAAGGGGATGTAAATGCTCGGCATGGCCAGTGGTGGCCGTGTGATTCTAGGGCCACAAGACTCCATGCATGCAGAAAGCAATACGACATATTGCAATGAATTGAATTACATTTTTTTTCTGAACCTGCCAGAATTGGGGCAGCAGGGTGGGCTCAAAGGGCTGGAGTTCAGAGAACAGATGACTGGTTAAAGAAATGATGGTATATCTATACAATGAAGTACTATGCAGTTGTTAGGAAAGATGAAGTCATGAAACTTGCTTATAAGCGGATGGACATGGAAAGTATCATGCTAAGAAAAGTGAGTAAGAAAGAGAGGGATAGACATAGAATGACTGCACTCATTTATGGAATATAAAATATCATAATATAAGACTGACACCCAAGGACAGGAGAGATAGAGACCGAAATACTGCTCCATAGTTGGAAGTCTGCCTCATGAGCTGGGGAAGAAGACAGCTGGGATAGAAAAGGAATCACTAAAGTCAATGATGGTTGGAGGGATCATTCGGGATGGGAGATGTATGCTGAAAATAGATAAAGGACCAAACACGATGGCCTCTCAGTTCTAAACTGCAAACCAAATGCCCCAAAGTAGAGAGAGAGTAAGAGGGAAACTGTCTGCCATAGAGGCAGGGGGAGGGGTGGGACGGGGGGGGCGAGGATACTGGGGACATTGGTGGTGAAAAATGTGCACTGGTGGAGGGATGGGTATTCAATCATTGTATGACTGAAACTCAAACATGAAAGCTTTATAAGTGTGGCTCAAGGTGATTAAATAAAAAATAGTTAAAAAATAAACAAAATAGGGCTTGAGCGATAGTACAGCGGGTAGGGCGTTTGCCTTGTACACGGCCGACCCGGGTTCAATCCCCAGGGTCCCCCAAGCATCACAAGGAGCAACACCTGAGTGCAGAGCCAGGAGTAACCCCTGAGCATTGCTGGGTGTGACCCAAAAAAGCAAAAATAAATAAACAAATAAACAAATAAAAACAAAGGGCTGGAATTCACACTCTGCATGCAGAAGCCAGAGGCCAGCTTCGAATCCCAGCGCCACCACACAGTGACCCCAAGCTCCACTGGGAGCAGCCCCTGCCCCCACCCCACAGAGCTGGGCCTTGTGTGGCCCTAAAACCCAGAAATAAATCATTTCTTTTACTTTTTCCTGTTTTGGGGCCACGTGCGGGGGTACACAGGGATGACTCCCGGCAGGCTCAGGAGACAGATGGGCACAGAACAGTTCCCGAGTATTGCCGGGTGTCACAAACCATCCCCCAAAAACAGAGGCAGAGGGAGCACAGGTTAGGGGGTACAAGTCTTGACACGGCCAACCCTGATTCAATTCCCAGCATCCCTGGGCTTCCAAGCATTCCCAAGTGAGTCCTAGAGGCCCGTGAGCACTGCTGGGGGTGGCCCCCGGTCCCCGGTACGCAGGGCCCCAACAGCAGCGACCTTGGGCCCCAGCACCAAAGCAGCAGCCTAGCCGGAGACTGTCACCAGGAGTGGCCCTCAGGCCTCCTGAGCCTAGAAGACCCAAAATAAAAAATAAGGAACACCTTCTAGGACTCCAACAGGGAAAATCCAGAGGGGGCCGGTGGCTACAGGCTGAATCTTGGGACAAGAAGTGCTTTTAGGAGCACAGGGCCAGCGCAGTGGCTAAAGCATCCGCCCGACAAGCCTGGTGCCACCGCATACACTGGACAAGCTCTGGGCAGCTCTGCTGAGATCCCCAGCACTTCATGATTCTGTGTAAATCCCAGGTCAGTGCAACAAAGCAAAGTAATGTGAGGAGGATGGGAGAGGCACAGCACTTTAAAAAATAAACTATGGGGGGCAGGCAGACCACCAGTACAGTGGGGAGGATGTTTGCCTTGCAAGGGGCAACCTGGGTTCATTCCCCGGTGTCCCATATGGTCCCCCAAGCAATGCCAGGAGTAACTCCTGAGTTCAGAGCCAGGAGTAACCCCTGGGCATCGCTGGATGTGACCCAAAAAAAAAAAAGCCAAAAAAAATAAAAATAAAATAATCTACCAGGGGCCAAAGCGATAGTACAAAGCAGGCAGGGTACTTGCTTTGCAGAGTCATCCCGGTTTCCATCCCGAGCACCTCACAGGGTCCCCGACATCTGCCAGGATGGTCCCTCAACACAGTGCCAGTAGTAAGCCCAGAACACAGTTAAGTGTGGTGTGAAAAAAAAATAAATAAATAAAGGAAAACAGGGCCAGGGATGGGCCCAGAGTGTCAGTGCAGCAGCTAGGGCACTTGCCTTGCTAACCTGGGCTCAATCCCCAGTACCCCAGATGGTCTCCCAAGCCCGCCAGGAGCAATGCCCGAGCACAGAGCCAGGAGTGAGCCCCGAGCACAGCCGGATGTTGCCCAAAACAAACAACAACAAAGACACGGCCAGGGAGACAGTCAATGGCAGGAATCCACGACTCTGATTCCCAGCACCATATGGTCCCCCAGCGCCACCAGGAGCAACGGCACCGCCACTACATATGGTCAAAAAGAAAAAGAAAATGTGACAATACCCCTTTCGTGTGCGAGTACCAACAGTTGACATGTCAGTCAAAAACATATAAATATGACTTTGACTTCAACCAACGTAGCATCACCAACCACAAACCTTTTTCCCTTTAGCTTTGTCCTTCATTACTGCATCTTCTGTTTTAACATTGGTTTCTTCCTCTTCCTCCTCCTCTTCTGGAAAATCAGGGGGGCAACCATAGAGTTCTATTTCTCTTTTCAATTTGTCAGCACATGCCTGAAATAAATATGACACTGTGAAATAATGAAGCTCAAATCGATGTAGCAACAATTTGAGTTTTCTGGGTTTTTTTTCCTAACGTCAATTAAAATTGACTCTGAAGATGTTGGGTCATATTTCAATACATAAGTGAAGTCACTTTATAACTCAAAACAATACTAATCACCTACTTTGAAATTCTCTAATGTCTAGGTTAGTACTTTACTTCATAATTCAACAGGCTTCACTCAACACCCAGAGTATGCAATACAACCGAGTAAACGTTAGGAATGAGAAGGCGTAGAGACTCAGTGGTCGAGCTTGCGGGAGGCCTAGATCTGATCCCCAGCATCACCTGGTCCCCCAAGCACTGCCAGGAGAGACCCCCAAGCACCAAACTAGAAATAACCCAGAAATACTGGTTGTGCCCCCCCCAAAAAATAAGCAAAAAAGACATAGAATGTTAGCATTTTTAGTTAACATTAATAATAGGCTTGTCAACTTTGTTTTGTTTTGGGCGACCCCTAGCAAGGCTGGAGCTATCTCTCGGCCAAGTGCTAGGGGGGTGGGGGAGGGGACTCCTAACAGCTCACAGGACCAGGTGGTGACGGGGATTGAATCTGGGCCACCCACATACAAAGCAAGTGCTCAGCCCACTGAGCTGTCTTCTCAGTCCACATCTGTCAATTATAGATCAGGGGCAGGGCCAGAAGATAGTACAGCAGGGAGGGCACTTGCCTTGCAATGAATGATCTGGGTTCAATCCCCAGCATCACATTGTCCTCTGAACCAGGAGGAATCCCTGAGCACAGAGCCAGGAGTAAGCCCTGAGCACTGCCAAGTGTGGCCCCAAAACCAAGAGGGGAAAAAAGAAAAAAGATTTCAGATTCTTTGGGGATAAGCATGGCCAGCAGGGCACTTGACTCAAAGGCAGCCAACCCAAATTCGATTCCCGGAACCCCAGATGGGCTCCTGAGCCCTGCCAAGAGTGATCCCTAAGCACAGAGCCAAGAGGAAGCCCTGAGCACTGCTGATTACGGTCTCCCCCTCCCCAAAGATCTGGGATTCTTTGAGGCAACTGAAGAACACTAAGATCAGTAAGTGAGTGAGCTTGACCAGTTGGAGCAGAAGAGCAAATAGATTAAAAACCCAGTCGGGCAGGCCGAAGCAACAGTACAGTGGGGAGGGTGCTTGCCTTGCATGTGGTCGGCCTAGGTTTGATCCCCAGCACCCCATATGGTCCCCAGAGCCACGAGAGGAGTGAGCCCTGAGCACAGAGGCAGGAGTAAACTGTGAGCTCTGCCAGGTGTGACCCAATAAACAAAAAAAGAAAGAAAACAAATACATAAAAATCTGAATCAGGGGGCTGGAGTGATAGCACAGCGGGTAGGGCGTTTGCCTTGCATGCGGCTGACCCGGGTTCGAATCCCAGCATCCCATATGGTCCCCTGAGCACCGCCAGGAGTAATTCCTGAGTGCGGAGCCAGAAGTAACCCCTGAACATCATCAGGTATGACCCAAAAAGCCAAAAAAAAAAAAAACTTAATCAGAATTCAATTAAAATTAAAAAAAAAAAAGTCATGTGAAGTTCATGCCCACTTCAATCAGCTTAATCAATGGCTGAATAAATAGCAGGACTCCTACATTAAAAAAAAAAAACCCATCAGATTCACTAAGAAAGGATGCACAGACACAAGTCTCAGGCCCAGGCATCATTGGGGAACACGGAGGGATACTGGGCTACAATTTCCCCAGGATGGAGAACCATCATCTGGGACAGCCACACCAGAAACAAGGTCCAAGCCATCCCCCTGCACACATCCCACTGCTCATGGATCTCCATCAACATACCTATCTATATCTATTCCTATAGATACAGCTGGGAACTCTATGCTAGTGGTGGCCTGGATAACATTTGCTCTTAGTCTCAGGATGGTTTTTTACAATGTGTTGGGTTGGTTTTTGTTTTTGTTTTGTTTTTCTGGGGTGGGATCTGGGGGTGGCCTAAACCCAGTGGGACTATTTACTTCTGGCTCTGTGCTCAGGGATCATGCCTGGACTTGCTCTGGGGGACTTTTGGTGCAAGATTTCAAACCAATATTTGACAAATGCAAGTCAAAGGCCCTAGCCTTTGTACTATCTCTCTGGCTCTATTCACTGAATTTTTATTTTTCTGCTTGTTTTGGGTCATGCCCAGTGAATGCTCAGGTTATGTCTCAGTAATTCCTCAGATGTCTCTGCAGGAATTACTCCTGAAGGTGCACAGGGGACCCTGTAGGATGCTGGGAATCAAAGCTGGGTCAGCTGCATGCAAGGCCCTCCCCACTGTACTATCACTCTGGGTCCTCGGTGAATTTTTTTAGCGATAGCACAGCAGGTAGGGCGTTTGCCTTGCACGTGGCCAACCTGGGTTCGATTCCTCCGTCACTCTGGGAGAGCCCAGCAAGCTCTCCAAGGCGTATTCGATATGCCAAAAACAGTAACAACAAGTCTCACAATGAAGGCATTATGGTGTCTGCTCAAGCAAATCGATGAACAACGGGAGGACGGTGCTATAGGGCTACAGGGGTTGGGGAAACGTGTGACACACCAGGCTCTGCTCAGGGCTTACACCTGGCTCTGCACTCAGGGATCACTCCTGCCAGTGCTCAAGGGGACCATATGGGATTCTGGAGATTGAATCCAGATTGGCCACATGCAAGGCAAACACCCTATCCGCTGTACTAACGCTCCAGCCCAAGCAAGGGACTTTAATTTTTGCACTATCTCCTCAGCCAATCTTCAAGTATTTTTGGAGTCCACACCAGCAGAGAGAAGCATGAGACAGTGTCAGGTATAAAACTCGGGGCCACACACGTCAGGCACACGCTTTAAGCTCTCTATCTCCTCTCCCTCACAGCCCTCTGCAAGGTCTGTCTATCCTCTTGTTTGCTTGTTTGGGGGCCACACCCGGCGGGTTTACTCCTGGCTTTGCACTCAGGGCTCACACCTGGGGACACAGGGGACCACGTGGGACTGAATCCAGGTTGGCCACGTGCAACATGCAACACCCTACCCACTGTAATATGGCTTTGGTCCCCAAGTTGTTTTTTTTTTTTAAGCTCTCCCAAGCAGTGCTCAAAAGACCCAGAGGTCCCACTGGCAATTCTCTGCCAACTAGGCTGCAGTTGGAGGCGAGGGTCCAGAAGGAGGTGCCGCCCGATCCCTGGGGGGCTGAGGAGCACCCATATCGCTCAGCCATTCTTGGGGTCTCTGTGCTTGGTGCTGAGGATAAGACCCAGGTCTGGCACATGCCACTGCACTATCTCCCGCCACAAGGAGAAAAGCCTAGAGAGACAACAGTACAGCGGGGAAGGAGCTTGCCTTGCATACAGCCAACCTGGACTCAATTCCACATATGGATCCCAAAGCTCGGTCAGCGGTGAACCCTAAGCACAGAGCCAGGAGTAAACCCTGAGGAATAGCAAGTCTGCCCCATCCACCCCACCCCCCCAAATTAAAAAAAAAAATTGTCCAGAGAAATGGTTCAAAGATGCGGAACACATGCACCCCATGTGGGAGCCCTGGGTTTGATCCCCAATACTGTACTGATCTCTGTGCCTCGCTGGAACAGTTTGTGAACACTGAGAAAGAACAGGCCCCTAGCACTCACAGTTGTGTTTCCCTGCCCCCCCAAAAAAAATCTGACTTTCATCCTAATAAATTCAATGCATTTCGACTCATTTAATATGGCTGTATTAGAAAATCCTATTTCAAACTCTTGAATTAGATATTAAAATTTTCTCTAAGCTTAAAGGTAGAAACCAATCCCCAAAGTAATCGTACCTTGATAGGCATTCCAGTGCAGTGCAAACCAAAGGGGAACAGGCAACTTTTTCCTTTCAATCTCTGGTACCCTATTGCAAACTACCAAGAGAAATGAAATTTGAATTACAGATTTAAAAGCAAATGAACAAAAACAAAGATGCTAACTTTTAACAAGGAACATTAATTTAGTTTTCCTCTTCACAGCTTCCTTTACTTTTGAATAATTATAAACGGTAATGTGTAATTATCGTTTATCTATAATTATTCCAAAGTTCTAGTCTACTATCTTTTTTTCTGTCTTTCCACAGAGCAGAAATCACTCAAAAACATATAAATGTATATATTCCTTAGACTTTGACACAACATACACACAGCATGCGAAAATTAGTGCAGGGCCAGAAATAAGTCCTAAGCACAACCGGGTGTGGCCCCCCCACCCAAAAAAAAAAAAAACAAAAAATAAATAAAATTCTCTAAAAATGAAGCTTACTTTTATTGAATACGACATTTATAGGTAACTGTCAACAAATAAATGTGCAGTGCTGGAAAGACAGTACAGCAAGGAAGGCACTTGCCTTGCACACAGCCGACCCAGGTTTGATCCCCAGCACCCCATAGGGTGGCTCAAATCCTGCCAAGAGTGAACCCTGAGCACAGAGTCGGGAGCAGACCCTATGCACCACCAGGTGTCTAGCCCCAAAATTAAACTGTTTAATTAGGGGCCAGAGTGATAGCACAATAGGTAGGGTGCTTGCTTTGCACACGGTCAACTCAAGCTTGATCCCCGGCATCTTACATGGTCCCCTGAGCACCACCAGGAGTAATTCCTGAGCACAAAGTCAAGAGTTACCCCTGAGCAGAGCTGGCTGTGACCCAAAAAGAAAAAAAATTATATTAGGGGCTAGACGATAGCACAGCAGGTACGGCGTTTGTCTTGCACGCAGCCGACCCGGGTTCAATTCCCAGCATCCCATATGGTCCCCCAAGCACCACCAGGAGTAATTCCTGAGTGTAGAGCCAGGAGTGACCTCTGTGCATTGCCAGATGTGACCCAAAAAGAAAAAATAAAAATTAAGTAAAATGTTTAATTATGCTAAATATAAAGGCATTCTAAGTTCTCTTAACAGGAATTAAGTTCTATGAATGCTACTTCAAAATAATCCCTGTTAAAGACCCTCTATCCCAGCATATATACCCAATATACAGAAAGCTTTACCTCACATTTGGATAAAGAAAATGTGTGTCCCAAATGAAGCCGCCCGTTCATATATGGATATGGGAAGGTTACAAAGTACTTGCCCTTGCTGCAAAATAAACACATTTTAAAAAGTACAACAGGAAAGACAATTTAAGTTCTTTTTATGTATATATGTAAATGACAATACGTATTTTTTTATACTGTAGTAAATGGTTTTAATATTTTTATTCACATAGGTCAAAATCATATAGTAATCATTGTTGGTCCTTCCTGATCTCTTTTCTGATCATTCAATTCGCCAGTTCTTAAAGTTTTGTTGAAATAAGCAATATAAAGTTAGGATGTTGTGTGCCAAAGGGAAGGTTGGAAACTGGGGAAACTGGAGATATTGATGGAGGGAAGGTCACATTGATGGTGCTGAAACATTAAATGCTTGAAACAACTTTATAATGGATAACTTTGTAAATCACGGTACTTTCAATAAAAACCGATTTTAATCGATTTTATACTACTGATTTAAGATCAATAGTATAGCAGGTAGGGCTTGCCTTGCATACAGCCGACCTGGATTCAATCCCAAGCATCCCATAAGGTGGCCTGTGCATGCTAAGAGTGATCCCTGAGTGCAGGGCCACCAGTAAGTCTTAAGCACCACCAGGTACGGCCCCCAAAGAAAGCTAAAATTAAATAAGTAAACAAATAAAACTCTCTTGGGGCTGGAGCGATAGCACAGCAGGTAGGGCATTTGCCTTGCACGCGGCCAACGCGGCCAACCCAGGTTCGATTCCCAGCATCCCATATGGTCCCCCGAGCACCGCCAGAGCTAATTCCTGAGTGCATGAGCCTGGAGTAACTCCTGTGCAATGCTGGGTATGACCCAAAAAGCAATAAATAAATAAATAAATAAATGAAACTCTAAAATTGAAGCTTACTTTTGATTTAGGAAGAATAAGACATTTATAGGTAACTGTCAGCAAATAAATGTCTAGGGCTGGAAAGACAGCACAGCAAGGAAGGCACTTGCCTTGCACACAGCCAGTCTCTGGGTTTTATCCCCAGCACCCCACAGGGTCGCTCAAACCTTGCCTGAGCACAGAGCTGGGAGTAGGCCCTATGCACCACCAGGTGTGTGGCCCAAAAACTAATACAACTTAATAAAACAGATAAAGTGACAAACTCCCTTCCTAAAAAGAGAAAAAGACAAAAGGTTATTGGGATAGAGGCTGAGGAGGGAGAGTGCAGGGGTGAAGGCCTTACATGTGGCTGACCCGGGTTCGAGCACCACCAAGGATGACCCCTAAGCACAAAGCTGGGAGTAATCCTCACCAAGTGATCCCCAACACCCGCCAAAAAGCATTATAAGTATAAATCTGCTTTATCTTATCCGCAGAACAGTTCCATACTACAGAGCCAACAGTTTCAGAAACAAACCATTACTCACCCGGCCTTTTTCTCTAATTTCGATGCATTGACCTCAAAGACTTTCTCTGTATCCCATTTCTGTTGGACTTCTTTCTCAATCTTCTTCAAAAAGTCCACTTTGGCTGTTCCTTTTCTTTCCTGCTGAACATAAAAGAAAAGGAATGAAACACCCATATGCTTCTGCAGGCTCACTTTTTTTTAAAAAAAGAAACTGGGCTCACACAGAACTGAGCAATTTAACAGAGATCAATTTGTCACTGTTAACTTGAAATTTAAGTGAACAAAGTTCAAAATTCAAGTCATCCTGACTTGTACACTTCAAAGTTACTTGAGCATATAAAAAGCTCTGAAATAATTTTTCAAACTAGACACAAAACATTATTTTCAGATATTTCCACTTAGTTCAAATAGATGAACACAGGAAAAAAGTACTGAACAGTGTCTGCTTTTTAACAGTAATTATGCTACATGAAAAAAGAGGGGCCGGAGAGATAATACAGCTGGAGAGGCAATTGCCTTGCATGCCTGACTAAGCCCGGTTCAATCTGTGGAAACACATGAGATCCTCTGGACACCGCCAGGAGTGACCACCCCCACCCCCAGCACAGAAGTCTGGGGTAAGCTCTGAGAACCACCAGGTGTGACCCAAAAACAAAAAGTAAATTAAAATAACAGGGGGTGAGATAGTCCAACAGGTAAGATACTTGCCTTGTATGCACCACAGGGTGTGACCCCAAAACGCAAAAATTAAATTAAAATAATGGGGGGGGAGGGAAAGGGGGCACAAAATGATAGTATAGCAGGTAGAGCGTTTGTCTTGCATACGGCCAACCCAGCTTCAATCCGCAACATCCCATACGGTCCCCCAGCACCGTCAGCAGTAACTCCTGAGTGCAAAGTCAAGAATAACCCCTGCACATCACCGGGTGTGACCCCAAAACAGAGAGAAAGAAAGAAAGAAAGAAAGAAAGAAAGAAAGAAAAGAAAAGAAGAAAGAAAGAATTAAAATTAACAGGGAGTCGAGGGGTTAATTGACTTCCCTCGTGCGAAGGTTAATCAGGTTCAATCCCCAGCACCACATACAGTCCCCTGAGTGGCATCAGGAATGATCTCTGAGCACAAGCAAGGGAGCACAGTAATCTTTAAACACAGCCAGGTGTGGCAAGGGGCTGAGAGGGGGAAGTACCCTGAGGGCAGAGGGTAGTACTGAGAGTAAGGGGCTAGCCTTACATGTGACCAACCTGTATTCAACCCCCCAACCCCCCGCCACCCCTTTTGATCCACCAGGAGTGATCCCTGAGCACACAGTCAGGAGTTATCCCTGAGCACTGCAGAGTGTGGCCCAAAACAAGTCAAAAAAAAAAAAAAAACCTTAAAGGGCCAAGGAAACATAAAGTAACAAAATAGGAGACTAACACCCAAGAACAGCCGAGATAAGTACCAGGAGGTTTACTCCATGGCTTGGAGGCCAGCCGCACATGCTAGGGGAAAAGGCAGCTCAGATAGAGAAGGGAGCACCAAATAAAGGGTGTTTGGAGGATCCTCCCAGGATGGGAGAAGCATGCTGAAAGTAGACTATAGACCAAACATGATTGCCACTCATTGCCTCTTTTGCAAACAACAACACCCAAAAGGAGAGAGAGAACAAAAGGGAATGCTCTGCCACAGAGGCAGGGTGGGACGGGGGGGGGGGGGGGGGGGGGGGGGGGGGGGGGGGATGCGGGGTAGGAGGGATACTGGGATCTGTGGTGGCGGAAAATGGGCACTGGTGGAGGGATGGGTACTTGATCATTGTATAATTGAAACCCAAGCACAAAAATTTGTAAGTTTACAACTGTACCTCATGGTGTTTCACTAATAAAAATTTAAAAAAAAAAAAGGGCCAAGGAAGTCCAGAGAGAGATCACAGTGGGTAAGGTAACAGCACAACACACTTGCACACTGATGCCGCTGATTCACCTTTTAGCAGCTTTCAGACTCCAAGTACAGTTACTTAGTTTTGAAAGGACTGTCTTTTTTTTTTGGGGGGGGGGGGAGGGGTTTCCACACCAGCAGTGCTCATGTTTCTATGCTCAGGGGTCACTTCTGGTGGGGATCAAACCCAGGTCAGCCATGTGCAAGACCAGTACCTTACGTGCTGTGCTCTAGCTCCAGGCCCTGTGTTCTTTTTTTTGAATCTGTTGTGGGTGTCACACCTGGTAGAGCTGGAGTTCTACCAGGGCCATAGCCATACATGCGGTGCTTAGGGTCCATGCAGGGTTACGGACTGAATCAAAGACGTTGCGCATGCCACCTGGCCCAACATTATCGTGTGTGTGTGCATAGATCAGAGATCAAGCCCGCGGGTGGGGGGGAGGGGGGAAGAGGGGAGCGGCGATTTTAGGGCTTCCTTCCAAGCTGTGCTCAGGGACCTGGGAACGACTCCTGACTCCTGGGGGAGAGGGGCGGGGCAAGTGAAGGGCATTAACCACGCACTACCTCTTGGGGACTCAAACTCAGTCGCTGTCTGCAGTGCCAGAGATTAAGGCTGTGCCAACATGTCTAGGAGCCGCTCTCCCTCACCAACCTGGTCCCTTCAAGCAAAACAGACTCTTTGTGCAAATTCTGCAACCCTAACATTAGACTTGCTGCTGAGGTCAATATAGAACAGATTGGGGCTGGAGTGATAGCACAGCGGGCAGGGCGTTTGCCTTGCACGCGGCCGACTCGGGTTCAATTCCCAGCATCCCATATGGTCCCCTGAGCACCCCCTGAGTGAGGAGTCACCCCTGTGCATTGACAGGTGTGACCCAAAAAGCAAAAAAAAAAAATAGAGAGAGAGAGAGAACAGATAAAGGGGGCTAGAAACAGCGGGAAACAGCTGTTAGGGTGTGTGCCTTGCACATGGTCCAGCCGGCTCAATCCCCAGCACCCCAGAGGGTCCCCTGAGCCCTGCCAGGCACGATCCCTGGGACCCTGGATGGAATCCCTGGCACCACCAACGAGCTGGCACACATGCTCTGTGTGTGAGGAGTACAGATTGGATACCTGGTATCACATGGCCTCCAAGGACTTGGAGCACCAAGCCAGGAGTAACTCATGCGCACCACCAGGAACCGCAAAAAAAAAAAAAAAAAAAAAAGTTCTTTCATTACAACTACTCTTTTGTTTTTATTTTTGCTTGGGGGGGGGTCATACCCCACGATGCCCTGGGGTAACTCCTGTCTCTGCACTCAGGAATTACTCCTTGGCAGTGCTTGGGGGACCACGTAGAATGCTGGGGATCGAACCTGGGTCGGCCACGTACAAGGCAAACGCCCTACCTGCTGTACTACTGCTCCGGCCCCAAATGCTCATATTTCTCTTTTGTTTTCGTTGGTTTTGCTCAGGGGCCGCACCTGGCATTGCTCTGGGCTTACTCCTGCCTGGCTCTGCTTTCAGGGATAACTCCTGGTGGGGCTCAGGGGACCATAGTGTCAGGAACTGAATCTGGGTCAGTCACATGCAAGGAAAGCACCCTACCTGCTGTACTATTATTCCAACCCAATTTCTCCAATCTTTAAATTAAAAAAAAAAAAAGCCAGCTCACAGGGGCAGAACAGATGCTTTGTATAGTTTGCGCCTCTGAGCACCACCAAGAGTGACCCCTACACACCATGTAAGGAGCAGCCCCTCAGCACAGACAGGAATGTCCTCCCCCAAATAATAATTATCTACTCTCATCTCCATCCCTTTTCTTCCCCCCCCTTTTTTTTTTTGCTTCTGAGGCCACACGCTACAGTGCTTACAACTTGCTCCCAGTGCAGTGCTCAGGGGGCAGGCAGTGGCAGGAACAGAACGCAGGGCTCACACATACAATGCATGTGCTCTGGCCTGTTGGCACAACCCCCTGCTCTCACACTCTCACATTCCCACTCTCTCCTTTTATTTATTTTGGGGGGGTTTGGGGTCCCAGGATTGGAAAACCAGATCAGCAGCAGCGTGCAGGGCAGACACCCGAGCCCCTATACTACCTCTCCAGCCCTTCCACACTCTTTCTGGAATCCACTCTTCAATCAGCAACACACAGGGCCCACGGCCGGCCCCCTCACCGCAGCCAACCTCCTCGCCACACATGCACCATCTTCCCTGCCCACTGTCCTTGCTAGTTACAACCGGCCTCGCCTCACACTGACATGGACATGGCCCACACTGCTTGCTCTAAAAACTACCGGATAGAGGAAGAGAGAGGGGGTGAGGGGTGGGGGGGCGCTGTGTATATGTAGACCATCAATCAATCTCAGGTGTGTGTGTGTGTGTGTGTGTGTGTGTGTGTGTGTGTGTGTCTATGTATGCAGACCTGAGATCAAGCCCAGGTGGAGTATGTGTGTAAATCAGGGGTCAAGCCCAGGTGGTGTGTGTTGGGTGTATGTGTGTATGTGTGCGTGTGTGCATGTGCAGACAAGAGATCAAACTCAAGCAGTGCATGTGTGTAGATCAGGGATCAAGCCTGGGGTGTGTGTGTGTGTGTGTATCAGGAATCAAGCCCAGTTGGTGAAAGTGGTGTGTGTGTGTGTGTGTGTGTGTGTGCATGTGTGTAGATCAGAGATCAAGCCGTGTGTGTGCACGTGCATCAGGGATCAAGCTCCAGTTGGTGCCTGCAGAGTGTGTATGTGTGTGTAGATCAGAGATCAAGCTGTGTGTATGTGTAAATCAGGGATCAGGCCGTGTGTGCGCGCGTGTGTGTGCGCAGATCAGGGTTCAAGCCCGTGAGTGTGTGTGTGTGTGTGTGTGTGTGTGTGTGTGTGTGTGTGTGTGTGTAGGGGAAGCACGTGCTCTACTCCTGACTGAGAGGCGCGCCTGACCTCTCCCTGACATATGTCAGTTTGTGGAGCACACCCTAGTCGCCACGCGATGAAAACCAGGGTAATTTCTGTCTTTCTGTGAGTGGCGCCCAAGTTTCTGTTGGAAGGCGACCCACGTCACACACAGCCTTTCTCAGATCAACTTTAGAAAGCGGGGAACTAGTACACGTGGCACTGAGCTAATGACATCAGTTCCTGGTGCATTGGCAAGCAAGGAAAGGCACATCCTCCACTCGGCCGCGCCTTAAGTCGGGGGGCCGCGGCGACCCCTCGGGCTGGGGCAGGGACGCGCCCCCCAGCACCGCGGAGACCACGTGAGAGCCCCGGGCCTCTTCCCGCCAAAACTCACCGCCATGGCGCCGCGCAGCCGCTCCGGCAAACCCCCTACAATGACCTCGGCGACCCCCCCAAAGGAGTGGTTACAACCTTTCCCCTCCCTTCCGAGGCAGAGAGGCCTCCAACGATGCTCAAGCACACACTTGGATTCGGATGAGGCAACCTCCGGCTCGCTAGGAACTACCGCCGGGGACACCGCCTAGCACGCCGGGAGTTGTAGTTCCACAGCCCCGGCGGCCCACCGCCAACGGGCCTCGAGGGACTACAATTCCCAGAAGGCACCGGGACGCCGGAACTCGCCCCAAGCCGCCCCTCCCCGTGGCCCACAGTTAGTGACTTCACGGTGATGCTGAACTACACAGTCCATGATGCAGTTCGAATTCTCGGAGCCGGAACAGGTGGCTTTCCCCTACCTCAACCTTTTGGCCCTGGTGGAACAGGCTTGAGTTGTCAGGATGCCAAGGTCATGAGTCTCCAGTACCCAGTATCCAAGCTGCTGATTATGGTTTGCCAGTTTACGCAAGATGTGCCATTTGTCGTGACGTTCACAAATCCGGAATTTAGACATTTTTGTGGTTTTCTCTGTTTTTGATTTTGGGGGAGGGGAAGTGACAGTGTCACACCCAGCGATGTTCAGGGCTTACTCCTGATTTTACACTCAAGAATTACTCTTGGCGGTGCTTCGGGGGACCATATGGGATGCCGAGAACCGAACCTGGGTAGGCCTGTGCAAGGCAAACACCCTACCCGCTGTACTATAGCTTCAGTCCAGAATTTAGTCATTCTGTGACCATTAACTTCAACTCTCCAATAGTATGTAAACTATGATGCCTCGATTTTAAAAGTTACTCAAGGGGCTGGAGATAGTACAACGGATAGGGCACTTGCCTTGGAAGAAGCCAACCCCAGTTCGATCCCCAGCATCTCATATGGTACCCAGATCACCATTAGGCCTGATCCCTGAGCACCAAGCAGGAGTAAGACTTGAGTCCTGCTGGGTGTAGCCCCACCCCCCACTCCCAAATAAATAAATGTAAAAGATTCCTCCAGACTGAGACGCTAGCTCAAGGAGTTGAATATGTGCTTTGCATACAGGAGGTTTGATCTGAACCCCAGCACCATATAGTACCCGAAGCACCCCTGGGAGAAGTCTCTAAGCACAGAGCTGGGAAGAGGCTCCAAATATTACTGGGTATGGGCAGAGAGAGAGAGAGAGAGAGAGAGAGAGAGAGAGAGAACCCTCATCATGGCAGTGAGTTTTGGTGGGAAGAAACCGGGGCTCTCACATGACATAATCAGTGTGATATGTCATTGTTGATTCAGCAGCTTTTAATTCACAATGATAGATGAAATTATTCATACACTGAATATGTATTGGGTACCTCCTAGTAACCTCACATAGGGTCGAGGTATAGTAAAGAACAAAAAATAAATGAGTAACGAGACTTAGTCTCTGCATTCATAAAACGGGTGGGGAAACTTTTCTGCCATGGGCCATAGAGATTTTTATTGTTGTGGCTGTTTGATTTTGAATCACACACCAAGCAGTACTCAGGAATCACTCCTGGCTGGTTTCAGGGGACCAAAGGGGGTGTTAGAGTTTGAACCCAGGTTGACTTCGTGCAAGGCAAGTGCCCTATCAGCTGAACTATCACTCCAGTTCCCACTGGGATATCTATAACATCAGGCCACAAATACAAGCAGATGGGCCACTGGCAGCCCACGAGAAGCACATGTGCCTGTCTTGTCAGGTACCAGAGCCAGACAAACTGAGCATGCCCCTTCCCTGGTCTACAGGGTGTGACACGGCTGAAAACATAGTTCAGTGATAGAGTACAGACTTTGTTGCCGGTGTTAGATACTTCGGGTAAGGGTCCAGAGAGACATTAAAGAGATTAAGGGCTTGCCTTGCATCTAGACTTAGAACCCCAGAACCACATACAGTCCCCTGAGCCCACCAAGAGTGACCCTTGTTGGGAGGGGCTGGAGCGATAGCATAGCCAGTAGGGCATTTGCCTTGCACGAGGCCAACCCAGGTTTGATTCATCCCATATGGTCCCCAGAGCACAGCCAGAAGTAATTCCTGAGTGCATGAGCCAGGAGTAACCCCTCTGCATCGCCGAGTACGACCCAAAAAGAAAAAAAATGAAAAGAGTGACCCTGGCACTCAGAGTCAGGAGTAAGCACTGAGCACTTCCAAGTGTGGCCACCAAACCAATTAATTAATTAATATAAATGGACATGGTTCAGAAAGATAATACAGTAGCAGGTAGGGCAGTTGCCTTGCATGTAGCTAACCTGAATTTGATCCGATATCGCCCCTCAAGCCCCACAGAAGTGACCTCAGCACATGGCCAGGAGTAAGCCCTAAACACCACCAGGTGTACACCAAAAAGTAACTAAATAGCTAAGGGACACATGCTTAGCCTATGTAAGACCCTGAGTTCCATCCCTGGTACTGCGGGCTCCCTGCCCCTAATACCACCCAACGGCCCTACAGTCTGGAGCACTGAGTCATCACTAAGAGTTATAATAATAGGGGAAGAGGGATAGGTAGCAGAGAGGTTAAGGCATCTGCCTGGCATGCTGCCGACCTTGGCTGCCCCAGCTTCACTGGAGTAACACCGAAGCACATAATTGGTAGTAGCTCCCAAACACTACCACATGTGCTCCAAAATCTCTCAAGTAAGCAAAATAAATAGCATGTATATACACATTTTGTTTTGTTTTGTTTTGGGGTCACACCAGTGATGCTGGGGTCCACTCCTGGTGACACTTGGGAAATATGGTGCCAGGGATGAAATCTGGCCCATTGAGCTATCTCTCCAGCCTCTGCATGAGATATTAAACAAGTTTTTTCGTAGTTACAATGTATGAAAAATCTACCTTTAAACCTCAAACTTCATAAAGGTCTAAGTCAGTAATTTTTTTTGTAGTTGTTTGCTTTTTTGTTGTTGTTTTGGGGCCACCCCAACAGTGCTCAGAGATTACTCCTGGCTCTACCTTCAGGGATCACTCCTGACTGGGTCTGGGCACCAAATAGATTGCTGGGGATCGAACCCAGATCAGCTACATGCAAGGTAAGCACCCTACCCACTCATTATTGCTCCATCCCCGTGGCCTCCAAATTTTATTTAGATTGTGCTGTGTATAAGACACTATCCTAGGGCCAGAGAGATAATACAGATGTTAAGGTGTTTGTGCTGCATGCGCCTGAACTTGGTTAGATCCCCGGCACCACATAAGATTCCTCTGGCACTGCCAAGAGAGATCCCTGAGCATGGAACCAGGATTAAGCCCTGAGCACCACCAGGTGTGGTATCAGACAAATATACTAACCTAAATGCTGAAGCTACAGCACTCGCACATTTTACAGGCCCAGTTCACAAGCTTCCAGTCTTGTGAAAGAGGCAGACATTGCAAAAGCAAGATTGTGAGTTCAAAACCCTTGTGGTGGCCATGAATGGGATGATCAGGGATCCCCACTGAAGAAAGACCTGGAAGAGGGCTCAGGGCTCAGAAAACACCTTAGAAAGTATAGGGACAATGGGCTGCAACAATAAATAGCACAGCGGGTAGGGCATTTACCTTGCTCGGCCTACTAGGATTTTGGTTCCCAGCATCCCATATGGTTCCCTGACCACAGTCAAGGGCAATTCCTGAGTGCAGAGCCAAGAGTAAACCCTGAGCATCGCTGGGTGTGACCCAAAAAGAAAAAAAAAAAAACAACAACATGGGGACAAGGCTGAGGCCCTGTGCTTAATCAAGGGATACTGAATCGAACTTGACTATCCAGAGGTCTGGGGTGAGGGGAAAAAGGAAAAGGAAGATACGTGTTTTCATCTGCGTGGTTGGTTTTTTGTGCTTTTTTGAAGGAGGGGTTTTGAGCCACACTAGGTTTTGAGCCAGAGCTTACTCCCGGCTCTGCCCTCAGGGATTACTCCTGGCAGTGCTCAAGGGACCATATGGGGTGCTGGGGATCGAACCCCAGTCTCCTGTGTGCAAGGCAAGCGCCCTCCACACTGTACTATCTCTTCAGTCCGATTTTTCTTTTTTTTTTTAAGTTGATTCTTTTATTGTTTGCCTTTAATGTAATGTATTTTTAACCAACTTGTCCTGCTACAAAATTCATACCAGCTAAAGCTTTGTTTTTTCATGATGCTTACAAAGCTATTTATGATTGGATTTCAGTCATACAGTATTCCAACACCCATCCCTCCACCAGTGTACATTTCCCAGTACCAGTGACCCCAAGTTCCCTCCCATCACCCTCACCCTCCACATGTTCTCTCTCTCTCTCTCTCTCTCTCTCCCTTTCTCCACCCCCCCCCCTTTTGAGGCATTGTTAGCCCTTTTTGTTTTTTTGCTTTTTTTTGGGCGATGCACAGGCTCTTGGCTCATGAACTCAGGAATTACTCCTGGTGGTGCTCGGAGGAACCATACGGGATGCTGGGAATTGAACCGAGGTTGGCTGCTTACAAGGCAAATACCCTACCCTCTGTGCTATCACTCCAACCCCCCATTTTCCTTCTTAAGGATGTATGTGTTTGCATGTTCCTCAGAGGTCTGCTCCCAGCTCTGTGCTTGGGGGTCACTCCCAGTAGTACTCAGAGGACCAAGCAGTGCTGGGGAGAGAACTGAAGTTGGCCCCGGTCAAACACCTTAACTCCTAGACTATCTTTCTTGACCCTTATTTGTGTCTTATAGAAATAATCCTGAGGAAATATTGAAAAGCCATACTGCAAAAGTGACAGCAAGAGGCTATTATTACTATTATTATTTGATTTTTTCTTTTCAGTTTTGTTTTGGGGTCGCAGCTGGCTGTGCACAGGGCTCCTTCCTGACTCTGAGCTTCAGGAATCACTCCTAGTGGGGCTCAGGGGACCAGACGGGCTGCTGGGGAAAAAGCTTACCTGTGCTTCATAATAACCTGGCCCTTAGCCTAAGCAAGTTCTTCAGCCACAAACAAGACAAGAACTCACTGTATTATCACTCTGCCTCCCTCCCTGCACCAGCAAGAGGCTATTATTTCAGCGCCAGGAAGCTAACTCAGAGGGCTGGAGTGCGTCATTTGCATGCGGGAGGCCCTGCTTTAACCCTTCAGTATGGTCCTCTGAGCCCCCTGCCAAGAATCACCCCTG